TGTTTGAAGGTAAACCAATGCAAACATCATTTAGCTCCAGAGCTATTTTGAACATCATGTAGTTGGGGGCATTAATTGATAATGGTTTGAGAATTTTCCAACAAATATAGAATTTGGAATGCACATTTATCTTGCATTTATTAACAGTGGTTTGAGATTTTTCAAATGAGTCTTTGATTTGACATGTTAAACTCTCTAATTTTTGAAAATGGAACCTTCGCATTGAAATATGAAGATTTTGGACTAAGTTTGGTTTAATAATGCCTTTATGGGTGTTTATTCTCTAAAATGCAGCTATAGTTCAAAGTAACTCATCACAAACGATAGGTCAGGAGACAATGAAGGTACTAGTATACATTTATATTATTAGCTGGAAGTTGTATCCATTATAATATATCACTTAGTTAAATGCTCAGTTGTTCTTTTCAACTAAAAGTTATGCTTAAATGTTGTGATTGGTCAGAGAAATGTATGTCTTTGCACTAATCATAAATGATGGTGAGTTATGGTTTAATGATGAAAAGTCAATTTATTAAGAAATAATCAAATGCTTGAATTTCGTTTTGAAGTTTGAATTGGACAAACATGTTGGAAAATGGGAATGCCATACATTAGTATTGTGGGCGGGTTATTTGATGTCTAAGGGTTTGGGATTTTCTAGAGGGTTGTTTGTTGTGACAAAGAATCCTTAGAGCTAGCAAGGTATTCCTATGCGGGCTTTTCCGTTGTTTGCCTATTTTTCGCCTATTTCCTTATCTCTTTTCCTATTTTTGGCTTTTGTTTACTACCTTAAGGTGTTGGGTCTTCATTTGTGAGCCATCTATGCTTTTCTTATTCAACGCCTGAAAATCATCTATACTCGATTGCATAATTGTTACTAAAAGGTCTGTTTATACCAATAGAGAGCTCTTAAGTTTTATCTGTTGTTAGTATCAATCTTTACTTACGTACATTGGTTGTTTATGTAGTTTTCTTTTTAACGTTTCATCATTATACAACTAACTACTATGGCTTACATTAGTTGTATAAGTGGTGGTTGGACTTGATATTTCTCAGAAGCATCAATACTTGAAGGCTATTATAATGACCAAATCTTAAGGTTATGGTTTTCCTTCAACTTGCTTGGAGCATTTAATATATTTATTAATTGTTTTCTCTATGTACTCGACTTTCAGACAAATAAAAAATCTAGCTGATTTGTGCTTGATTGTAGTTGCATTTAGGGTTCTATTGCCTTCTTCAAAGCCTTCAGTTCAGTTTCTAACTCTAAGGTCACCAGGGTTCCGCCCTCTGGTTGCTCATACAGAGGTGGGTTATAGTAACTTCCCGTGAGTTAATATTACTATTCTTCCTACAATTATTTATTTTTTTCTTAGAAATAATATGAACATTATATCATCTAACACAATGCATAGTTTGATACTTGATTACTATTCAAGTGGAATTTATCTATCCGATTGGCATTCATGTAATTTCCTGGTATGAAGTTGCTCATCGTTGCATTAAAAAATATGCATAGGCGAGTATTTGAAGAAAACCCCTTTCCTCAAGCTGGTCCCTTTCGCTCCTCTGCAAGTGGTTTTTTTAAGTTGTACTTCCTGAATGTATATGCTAAGGTTTCTTTTCTTATATGCCAACTTTTGAGGGTTCAAGGAGGAAACTTGAATACCATCAACCTTTAATTTATATCATATCAATGTTTAATGTTTTTGCAATCAATTTTTGGCTGCTTCAATTTAAACACAAGCAAACTTGCATTTGTTTACGTGGGTGTCTTTTGCATGATGCTAATTCCAAGAAAGAGAAATTTTTCAGTTCTCTTTTGGGTTTGAAAATCTTTTTGCTACGGTTTCCTATGGTGTGGGTTATACATAGAGATCTTTAAGTATGCATGCAGATTTTCCTTGCCAGGTTGTGGACATATTTGCTTATGTTTCTGGTCAACTTAGGTAGCTACATTACAGTGGAACTGGTGAATCTAGGAACAAAATTTATGTTGTTATGAGCATATCCTTTACGTTCTACTTATATAGTTCCATTGAAACTATTAGATTAGACAATAGATAAGTGAAAGATTGAGGCAGTTGATGAAATTCTTTATTTGGATGTTTTAATAATTAGAGTCCATCCTCTTTTTTACATTGCAATTATTTATGAGTTATGACAAGCTTTGTTTGAATGAAGACAAAGTCATGTGTATTTTTTTACCATTCTCACCATTTTATCTTTTACCATAGGCTACTATTCAGAGTGTGCATTCATCTTCCTAATCTATGACCACCCTTGGATCCCCACCTATGTCATCGAAACTATTAGATTAAATAATAGAGAAGTGAAAGCTTGAGGCAGTTGATAAAATTCTTTATTTGGATGTTTTAATGATTAGAGTCCATCCTCTTTTTTACATTGAAATTATTTATGAGTTATGACAAGGTTTATTTGAATGAAGACAAAGTCATGTATATTTTTTTGACCATTCTCACCACTTTATATTTTACCACAGGCTGCTATCCATAATGTGCATTTATCTTCCTAATCTATAACCATCCTTAGATCCCCACATATGCCATCACTACACGGAAGTACTGACAACATTGATTTTGATGTTGTTATTGCCAAAGATTGTATGCTTTTGGAACTTCTTCCACTCATTCCAAAAGAAAACACAATGTCATAGCACCATCGCTCAACATTCCTCATTTAATTATCATTCCCTTTTTTTCTTGCGAATGCTCACTATTTTGCGAAGATAAACAAACTAGAAGGACATATATAGTATGTTTTCTTATTTTTACGTTTGTTTCATATCTGTATATTTTGCAAATAGGTTATGTTTCGATTCTCGCCAACATTTTAGTCTTCATCTCAATTTGAGTAATAAAATTTTTTTATTTCTTTTGACTTCCAAATAGGGATGGCAAAAATATCCGTAACCGTGGATATCCGCCCGAACCCGGCCTAATCGGGTAGGGTAAAACCCGAACTCGAAAGACATTTAGGGGGTACGGGTAAAACCCGAACCCGAATATTGCCGGTAATGGGTGGGCATGGGTTTCTCACTATCCAACCCAAACCCGCCCGATTATACACATACATATGTATTTTGTCTAGAGATAATCATTATTTTTCTCTAACATATTTTATATTTAGCATATAAATATAATATTTTTGTGAAATTGTGTTGTTTTAATTAATTTTCTTCATTCTAGTGAATTATTGTCAATCTTTTCCTCTTACGTAATGTGAGAATACATATGAATGTTAACATATTGGTTGGAGTTATGAAGAGAAATCATTGCCCATGAATAACCGTGGATACCCGAAACCCGAAAATGTATGGGCATGGTTTTAATTTTCTACTCGTTTCATATGCGGGTATGGGTAAAACCCGAACTAGTTTGGGTAGGGTAACGGATATGCACTATCCGTCCCCGACCCGACCCATTGCCATCCCTACTTCCAAACTTTAATCTTTCTTCTAATTACTTTTGCTACTTTAAGAGGTTTGCCTACTCCTGGAAATTTCTTATCCAATTTGAATTGAAGTGATGTCCTCGCCTGTCTGGTAAATACAATGAAAACTTACTAGATGTTAATTTTAATTAACTCGAAGTAGGTCTCATTTCTGCAGTCTTCTTTGCTATCCTAAACACAAACAAATTCACGTCCCTTATTTCCTATTCCGTTACCAACTAATGACAAGTGACTAATGAGATGTTGCCTTCTACAATATACATAAACCAAGAGCATTATTATCTCCATATCAATAATCCAATATTCGGCTCAGCTACCTCCGACCAACGGGTCGGGTAACAAGCTAGTTAATATATATAAAGAAGAAGTTGAGTTACTGTTGCGTAATCTTGCAAGTTGATTGGGCAACTATCATTTTTACATTTTCATACCCAAATTTAATTAAATTACAACTTAGTTACTATAATATACATTTTACATTTTGATAGCCCAAAATTAATTTCAATGTAAAATTATTGAACAATTATGCTTTGTTATCTAACTAAATTTTATGAGCTTTTCGTACCTACATTTTTTTAAAATTTACATATTGGTAATGTTTAGATTTCACTTGAATCTATGAATCCAATCCGCCAATCCTTTTGAATCAATCAATGAATCCAATCCGCCAATCCTTTTGAATCAATCAATGAATCCAATCTACCATAACAAAAAAATATAAATTTAGTTTGTACCATACAAGATGTTGTATCACTCAACTGAAGGAGAAGATTCGACCATTTTATATTTGCTCATTGCATGAAACATTAAATAAATAATAAAAGTGAGACGACTCTAAAATATTACAAGAGCGATTTTATAAACTCATTTAGTACATTTACGGGGTATCAAACAAACTTCTACTAACTAAATGCAACAAAATAGGCGACATCTACATAAGCAAGTGAAAATAAATTGCTACGGTGAAAATGGTTGACTGTTGTATTGACGGCCAACTAAAAGAATTGGTCAAAACATTTACATCATCTACTTGCTTTTCGTTTCATTTTTCACTCGCCTTCCATAACTCTTTATTTATTTCTTTCTTTGCCTTCTTCGTCTAGCCGTAATTAGTATACAATTTTTATGTATTCTAATCACAAGTATGAACGGGTCCATACTACTTACCAACAGTCTAGAGAATTAATAATTGAAACATGAACCATCAACTTTTTCAGCACAATGTCGAGTCCAAATAAAAATAAATAAATATGGTTATTACTTATTAGAAAGTAATCATTTTCCACTATGAGATTTGAAAGCGTGAAATTTAAGCGAGTTTCAGTTTGTAATCATTTTGTTTCTCCCTAAAGTTTTTCTTTTTCACCCGAACTAGAATTTTCGACAATTATATATGGAATGTTTGGCTAGGTATCTACACATATCAAATAATAGTTTCCATTTTTCTATAAAATACATCACCATAAAGGAATTAAGCCTCAGATATACAAATTACAGTTCGGTACCTAAACTTAATAGATTTTTAGATTTATAACCTAAATTTATTTTTTTGGCACATAAGTCCCCAAAATATTGATTGAACATTACATTTTAGTATCTACAATTTTTGCGTATGACATTTTGGTGCCTAAACTTTTGAAGTTCTACAAATATGTCTAATTTTTGTATGTGTAATTAAAACACCCTCGAATAAATGGTTATCCATACCCAACTCATGCACATTTAGATTATGTAAGTACATATTCATACCCTATCCAAACCCATCTACAAACTTTCAAACCCGTATATATGTCACCCATACCCTACCCATAATCAATGGGTCTACTTGAGTTTAGGTAAATATTAGTGATTAGCCAAAATTTTCAAAAAAATTTAAATTGGATGTTGACCGCCCTATATATCTTCTCAGTTAATATCATATTGTCAAGTCAATATTACTAACAAAACTGCTAACAAAAAATTAATTTTAGACCAATAATACAAACAAACACCATAACTGGTGACATAATACATGCTCATATACCATCTCCGCCCCGCGACAAGACGGGGCATCGCCACCTAGTATTCAATATATATAGGATACATTAGAAACCTCAAAATTACAATAGTTTCAACGATGTTTGCTAAAAATAACATCCGACGCCTAAGTTAACCAGAAGGTGGGTGACAGTCAGGACTTGGGGAAGCCTTCTTAAACCTCTAACTAATAACAAGCAAGCATCGATTTCCAAGGCATACTACCGCTACCGGCCGATAACCGACACTTTCCGGGCCTAAAAAGCTTACCATTAAAGCTTCCATGCTAACACAAATGTGTAATGCACCTGTTCACATGAGCGATGTTGACCTTATCCCAGATATCAGTATGTTTTGACAAGGCTTGGAGAGCACATTCCCATGAACCACCTGCTACTGCTATGGTGTCGGGCACTTGAATCTGCTTTCCTCTTGTTCCCCATTGACACCGAGTTCTTGAGCTTGGTTCAGGGCTCGATGGCTCTGTCGATGAATCCACCACTCGGTTCACCATTTCCAGCACCTCACTCATCTTTGGACGTGCTTTTGGATTTCTGACCAAACACTTGTTCGCTATGTTAGCAAGTTCTGGGCTGACCTTAGCCGGAATCTCCCCTCCAGCCTGGGGTCCAAAATATGTTGGAACCTCTTCTTTGATAGGTACGGCTTCACCCACTCCAAGAGCTTTTGCTCGTTCTTGGGCCGGTTTCGGTCCAGGGGCCGCTTACCTGTGAGGAGTTCATACAGGAAGACGCCATAACTCCACACATCGCTTTTGGATGTGAGGCGTCCCGATTGGATGTATTCAGGAGCTGCGTATCCCATCGTACCAACAACCTGAACAAACGGTATCATTTGCAGTATGTTGGACGTGTCGCATGTATTTTCAGAATGCAGGGTTAGGTTTGAAACGATTGTAAGGGGGAAAAAATTGTTGGGGCTCCAAAACCATGTACTCTGAAAAGCTTTAGGGGGTCACAAAAGACTGATAAAATACGTGAAGTCATTTATTCTGCATATACATGGGTCTTGAAATGCATAATTTTCAAGACCTTTGTGTCTGATCTATATGTATATGTAAGGCATTTCATCGCTGAACTTTGTGTCTGCTTACCGCTGTCGAGACATGAGTTAAGCCCTTCATCTGGGCTAAGCCTTGCCAACCCAAAATCAGATAGTTTGGCATTCCACTGCTCATCGAGAAGGATATTTGAAGATTTGAAGTCCCTGAAGATGATCTAAGTAGAGATAGAACGCACAAGTAAAAGACTAATCGTTATCTTCACGATAGCTTATTCAAATAGTTCAGATTTCAATGTAAAAGACTGTAAATAAATTAAATTGAACTACTCAGCTATGCGAACTACAATGAGAAAAGGTAGATACCTGGAAATCCATTTCTTCATGAAGGTATGTTAAGCCACGAGCAGCATCTTGTGCAACTTGCAGTCCCATGTTCCATGGGAGAGTTGTTTCACAACGACTGGACAAATGGTCCTCCACGCTTCCGTTAGGCATAAATTCATATATAAGAAGCCGCTGGATTCCCCGCTCATCATCATCAGCACAATACCCAACTAACTTCACAAAGTTCGGATGCTCGACAACCCCGAGAACATTGACCTCTGTGACCTATTGTTTATGGCCCTGTCAACCACAAACAAGATGAGGCCATAGAAACAAATTGCTGTACACAGTCAAGATTAGACTATCGGATGAGAACACAGTGACCAGGGGCCCTCAGGAACAAGGTCAAACTAAAACAGCCCACATCTACAAAAGATATATGCCTTATCTCACTTCCATAGTTAAACTACTATGTTAAGTCTTGGTACAACAAGGAGTCTCCACATTCTTGTAGGCAATTTATAATGGGTAGGTTGGGAGAAATTAGCAACAACTGAACGCCATTCATTTTCCCTTCAAGGGTGGACAGGAAACACTTGACGCAATTGTGTTCTCCTGAAAGAGTTGCAAGAAACTAAACACAATCACTCCTTTAACTGGACTACAAAAACTGATTGACAGAATAGGCATACCTCATGAGGAAGTTTGCAGGATTAAATACCCCCTTTAGTAGACTAGTAAATGAAGGAAAAGACAGAGTTCCAGAAGTGAAAAGGACTTGCCTGAGTTCCCCGTTTACCAAGCTGTTTTACAGCAACTTCGATCTTTTTAGATGGTTCCTCGGTGCTCTTTATCGAGCCTCTGCAGACATCCAAATCCACCCTCTCCAACCATAACAGAGCGACTGAAGTTCCTGGTGGCAGCCTTAAGTTCAGCAACTGTGAACACTCTCAGATTACTGGGTCTCTGGGATAAACTAGGGTAGGTAGGCCTTCCCACAGATTCGACACTAATAGCTGATATATTTTGGGAATCAACTCGGACCCAGATCTCCCTTCTTCACGGTCAGTACAGTTAGAGTCCATCGACATAACTGATGCAGAATTTGTGGCCTTTAGTTCAACCTTCCTGTCCCCAGTGTAGAATGAAAAGCACTTCATATCCCTGACACATACCCATATATAATAGTTTCTGTCACAAGGAGATCTAACAACTGAAAGCCATTTCATACCACATATAACGGGTTCACTCTAAGAGATTCAGGTGATCAAGCAGAAGGAACAACATCAAAAGCATACACGCTTGCAAATCGACGATACATTCAAGAGCAGGTCATCGTCACCATAGGCAGAATTGAAGAACCACTAGGAATACACGTAAAGAAGGACAAAACCTAGCAAATTGATTCTTTGTATACAGCTCGACGCAAGTTAATGGTCAGGAACTCAAACAGTAGAGCACATACCATTTCTCCAAGAGGCAAAATCATTATAACCTCACCAAAAATAAAAATAAAAAGGAACTAGCGAGTTAATCCATCTACTTACTTTCATTCAACCCTTTTGTCAACTATGCCAATCCGGTACTTGGTTTATCTCAAATCCGAAAAGGTGTAAAGAAGAGTGATTTCAGAAAGTACCCAAAATCCAAGCTAGAACTCTCAGATTTCCGACAGAATCTTCTTTCCGATTCATGGGCAATGAGCACAACTAGCCATGGAAAGGTCAGCAAGACTTTAATAGACAATCACGCAAAGAGCAGGAGAACTCACACCCTTTCGTTTCGATTGTTCCCAGTGGTAGGGGTTTGCAGAATAGTTAGTAAACACTTCCTTTATTACACGTATATGTAACCGTACGTATTTTATCCGTTTAAAACTTCCGTATCCGTATTATTGCAAGTCGTTTCATTTTCCCCGTTCATTTGATGGCTTCCGTACTAAACACGTATAAAACCCGTATGTAACATTTAATATCTGTATTTAATGAATTAAATTATTAACTTTACTATTATTTATATATTTTAAAAATAATTAATTTTATATATTTACTATTATTAACGTACTATTAAACGTAACATTAGCTAAAAAATAAAGTAAAATACCCGTACGTAATACACGGCTGCCCCCGAGAGATGGAAGTCAGTCAAGCACAGCAATAAACAATATATTAATGCATTCATCAAAACAATTGATAAATAATACTAATATTTGATTATTTAGAATATTAATAGTTGGTTATTGTAAATTTCACTCCCATTTAAATTTTCCTGCAACCAGAATGAAAATAACAATGGTATTTTTGTCTTCACAATGAAAGTAGAAAAAACTATAGAACTTTTCAACGGTTAGTTAAGGTCACTAAATCTTCTCTCGGTATGGATGGTGGATAGTATCCATTGAAAGGAGCTACGAGCTTAATACCCTAGACACGATAGCCTAAATCTAGATGACTTATATAGGTTTAGGAGATGCTTACTCGGAGGCGTGTGGATAATCATGAGTAACCCTACATGACAACCATAACTAGGATGATTCGACCCTAGGCAACCGTCTCACCACTAGCGACCTCCCAACCACTTGGTTGGTTGTTTATTTTGCCTTTAGGAGTAGATTAGATTAGACTTTTCACCAAACTTCTAATTCGATTAGATAGTAGTTCGAAATGAAGTAATAATAGGCTTAGGGTTCCCTTTAAATACGACTGAGCCACTTTACTACAATCTTAGCTAGGTTATGCTTGGCTTAGTTAGGATTGAATAGAGATTGTGCATCGACTTATAAGTTTAAAACTCGATCACGCAAAGCGTATCATTTGTAAATCCCCTTTTAGTTGGAGTTGAAGTGAAATATGAACCGAATTACTCTTATAGTTTTTAGTTGCAACGTTGAGACTCAAATTAAAACAGAGAAAAGACTTCAATCAAAGAACGTCACCCGCGTGCTGACTTCCTATTAATTCATGGAGTTGATTAAAAAAATCAAATATATTCAATAGTATATTAAAGGTAGCGGGACATTGTAGAGGGATAGGTTATATGTCTCAATGAGGTGGGTTGGTGGGGAGGGGGAGATCTCTTACTTGGAATGCATAATATCCTATTTAGAAGCAAGAACTTGTATTCTCCTTTTAGACTTCGGTAGGATCATGAAGTTATTTCATTGGTTTGGGCTCATATGTGCTTTTGTAGATTGTAGTTGTGGTTTGAGCTGGGGTATGCCATATTTACGGTACCAACAATTTCTCCTAATTGGGCATTCAGTAAGATACTGGATGTCTAATTAACAATAATTTTTTAACTTGCCAAATTTCATGCAAGCCCCCAATTTCAGGCTCTTGATGTTTAAGCCCCCAGTTCGGAATGAAGTAATAATAAGCTTAGGGTTCCCTTGGAATACGAATGAGCCACTTTACTACAATCTTAGCTAGGTTATGCTTGGCTTAGTTAGGATTGAATAGGGATTGTGCATCAACTTATAAATTTAAAACTCGATCACGCAAAGCGTATCATTTGTAAATCCCCTTTCAGTTGGAGTTGAAGTGAAATACGAACCAAATTACTCTTATAGTTTTTAGTTGCAACGTGAGACTCAAATTAAAACAGATAAAGGACATCAATCAAAGAACGTCACCTGCGTGCTGACTTCCTATTAATTCCTGGAGTTGATTAAAAAAATCAAATATATTCAATAGGATATTAAAGGTAGCGGGACATTGTAGAGGGATAAGTTATATGTCTCAATGAGGTAGGTGGGTGGGGGGGGGGGGGAGAAGATCTCTTGCTTGGAATGCATAATATCCTATTTAGAAGCAATAACTTGTATTCTCCTTTTAGACTTCGGTAGGATCATGAAGTTATTTCATTGGTTTGGGCTCATATGTGCTTTTGTAGATTGTAGTTGTGGTTTGAGCTGGGATATGCCATATTTACCGGACCAACAATTTCTCCTAATTAGGCATTCAGTAAGATACTGGATGTCTAATTAACAATAATTTTTGAACTTGCCAAATTTCATGCAAGCCCCCAATTTCAGGCTCTTGATGTTTAAGCCCTCTTTTCACCAAGTTAGTTAACTCAAGTCCCCAATAATATACTTTTTTTTTGTAAAATCTCCAACAATATATGATCACGCCGTGTTGTAGTGTATAATCAAATTTACTGAATATGCTAATGGTATTATGATTGTATCTACTTGGGTTTCCAACGATTGACTACTCAAAATCGGATATAATACTCGATTAAGGTGGATTAAAACCAACACTAAAAACAATAAAAAAAAATTAAACCTAAGGGAGTAGATTGCTCAGACCATGCGCCCCTAAGTTCGATTTACCGATAATTTACTTGAAAGGATTGAATCATGTGCAGTTCCTTCTGTCTTTTGTCGCAATAATTACTCGAAATGACAAGAAATAAGGACCCTAAGGCTTTCTCCCTTGATGTTTCGTGCAGTCTAATTGACTGATGATGGATATGAGGGGCGGTCGTGTCCGCTCTCACCCTTCAAGAAATCAGATTTTAAGATCTACACCACGAAGGGATTCATATCTTGCCTAAAACACAATCGATTAACAAGAACTCATGACAAACATCAATTCAATCGTAAAAAGAAATCAAACCATCTTCCCAGGGTTTACGTAAATGAACAACCTAATGTCTACCTACTCATAAGTATATAGGAAATCATAAGAGAGAAAGGTACAAGGATAACCAGTATGGAATTTCCTTTGATCTTGAATTCTTCATCTTCCTTCGTACCTCTTGATTCGGGCCCAAATGTACACATTTTACCCCTCATTTCTTATTTATCTAGCTTAGTATTTCATCATTCCTCAACATATTTTACGCTAGGTTGTGCTTGTTTTGATAGATTTCAGGTCCTAGCACGTGTGAAAGGGTCGAGGATGAGTTTTGTAATAATTGGAGGTCAAAAAGCACAAAACCCGAAGAAAATCCAAAGCCCGTAACATTGAAGTGAAGGCGTCCAGGAAACAGCCGCAGTTCACGGTCGGACAAGGTAGTTTACGGTCTTCTAAAACCGTGAAGAGGAGACATGGTCCATGAACATCAAGGCGTCCAGGGCACTTACCGAGGTTACTGACGCCAGCCGAGTTCACGGTCTCTAACACCGTGAACTGGGGCCATTGACCATGAACCCAAGAGAGTGAAGCAGTGCATTATAGACGACAGTGAGTTCACAAACGCGTTTAGGTGGTCGTGGCCATGAACTGGCCAACGCGTCCGTGTACTAATCACTTATGGGCAAATATGAAGTCAGCAGCGGGGAGAGAGAATGGGGAGCTGGTTTTGGGAGAGAAATTCAATTCCCTCTCTAGGGTTTTCCAAAAACACCGAAAGGGGAGTTCTAGGGAGAGAGAGAGAGAGTGTGTGTGTGCTAGAGTGATCTTGAAGCATCATTTGAGGCTTGGGTGGAGAAGGATTGAAGCCTAGAAAAAGAAGAAGAAGATCTTAAGCTCAAATTTGTAATCTCTCTCTCTCTCTAGAAACTCACTCTTTTCTCTTGGGTGTTGTAGATCCCTACCTAATACTTTGTATTTATTTGTTTAGATTGATTGATTGTCATTGGGTATTATTTAATTCAATGATCGAGGTATTATTCATGTTGATTGTGCATGCTTGTGCTTAGCAACCTAAGGATTGTGCATGATCGTGCTTAGCATCCTTAGGTTTGTGCATGCTGGTGCTTAGCAATCTAATTAGCCACTTTAACCTAGATTAGAGAGGAAAATCCCCCTTTCAAGAGAAAGTCAATCGAGTTGGTTTTCCTTTAGATTTTTAAGCCGCCTAACTAGGTTAATTTAGGGCAAATCTCAATGTGAATTAAGCAAATTGGTTAAGCGCGATTAAGCCGTCCAACCCTTGAGTTGAGTGAAGCAGTAAGTCAACCACCAATTTCCTAAACCGGGAGGGCCGCGTGACATGGCCTATAATGTATACCTTGGTTTAGCAATCAAGAGTGTGGTCTACGACCATATTTACATCCCTTTGCGGTTCGCGGTCACCTTGCCCTTAGCAATCGTTCCGATACAACGAGTCTTGGTAGCTAGTTAGGCGGAAGCAACTCCTGGGTGAAACTCCCTTAGTTAGAATTTTCCTTTATTTACTTTTCTTTGCTTGTTTAGTTTGTAGTTTTCTTAGTTTGAAAACCCAAAACCGTTTTGCTAGATAACAACTTAAGCGATTGAAGTAGGGGTACATGGATCGGCCTGGGTTGACAATTTAAATACTTGCTCTATACTGCGCCCGACTAGAGTTTAAAAACTTGGGCTCTAGTCGGGATTAATTTGTGGTTTAGTTTCGTGCGAGTCAAGTTTTTGGCGCCGTTGTCGGGGAACCGCGGTCCATTATTCTGAAAATGTCGCTTAGTGTTACTCTAGCATTTTCTATCTTGCCTCTTTGTTTATGTTTTGTGTTTCGTGTGTGTTTTGGTTACCACTCTTCGTCTTGAAGGGTGGTTTGTGTGTGTTTGATTTTTCTTTTGTTTTTATGTATTTGTAGGTATTGGATCATGGATCCTTATGATTTCACTGAAGTGTGGGGGTATCCACCAACACCCGAGAATGGTTACCCCAAAACTTCATGAGACGATCAAGAAGGGGGAAGTCTAGGACCCGGGTTCTACTACCAACCTCCCTTCCACGAAGAGTAACCATGCTCATGGGGATACCAAGAAGCTTCCCTATATCAAGAAGGTTTCCCTCCGCAACTCGAGGTGAAATCCAAGTTGGAGTTGGCCATGGGGGCTTTCATAGGCCAAACCTCACGACCATGTGCCACTCCACAACCGGAGCCAAAGAACAAATTAGAGCTCATGGTGGAGCGATTTGTTCGGGGCACCAATGAAGTGTGCTCTAGCATGGACCTCCCAATCACCAACCCTATCGAATCAACCTTTCTTGAGGAGGCGGAGGAGCTCCATAGACGCACGTAGAGTCTAGGAGGGCTAGTAGAGCAAGCATGTGCACAACTTGCTCACAATTGCCTCCTACCATTGGAAAAAAGAGAGGAAGTCGAAGAGGCGAGCCATGATAATTTTGGAAGAATGAGCTCCAACATGGATTTCCAACCCCTCCCTCCTCCCAGTTTGACACTAGAGGAGAAAGTGGCACAAGCTTGTGAAAGTTATCGCCTCTCATTATTTGAGGAGAAAGAGGAGGTTGAAGGATCGATCAATGAAAACCGTGTGGAGCAAGACGAACTCTAACCGGAGAGCTCCCGTGGTTAGGATGAACAAGAAGGTTGCATTGACGACTCTCATCCCTTTCCCCCTCCCGAGACCAACTTTAAAGACCAAGTCACGAGTGCGGAGGAGCAAGATAACCCTTTCTATGATCTTGCATGGCAACTTGCCCTCCAAATAGTGCTTAAAGAAATGAAAGGGAAGGAGTAAGAAGAGGTTGAAGAGGAGGAAGAAAGCATTGAAGAGAGGGAAGATCTCGAGTGTTCCCAAGGGGAGGAAATTGAAGAAGAAGGAAGAGAGGTTGAAGATGAAGGAGAAGGAGAAAGTGGTGTCCAAGACGAGGACGAAGTCGAGGTGGATGAAGGACCCATTTGTGGCTCTTTGCCAAGCCAAGGCCAAACCATCGATGATCACTCTTAGTGGATGCGATGGGAGCAAAGAGAGGATGCATTACATGGTATGGGGCAAAGAGAAAAGTGAAAAAGTAAAGAAGGAGAGGTCTCGTGGGTGGAGCCTCAAAGCCACTCAAGTTCACGAGCCCTTAATCATGGACTCATCCAATGCTCGTGACTTGAGACATCACCTCAGCGACGAGAACCTAAACTTCAAGGAGGTTCTTGGGTGGACCGAAAGTTGAAGAGTAACCGTCCGGCTCACGACGTTAAAGAAGCGCTTGGTGGGAGGAAGCCCAACCATCAACAGTTCGCATAATTTTTCCAATCAGTAAGTCAACTTTTTTTTTTGCCGCCTCCTTGCTCTTCCGGATCTCACCTGCCCTCCGCTCCCGATCACCAACATTCACCACTATCCGGTAACCCAATTCTACTTCCCTATTTTATGCCATTGAGGGCATTGTCAAGCTTAAGTGTGGGGTAGTCCTTTATGTATTTTTGTGTGAATGATTGGTGTGATTTTGAATGCTTAGAGCCTTGATGTATGCCCAAATTTGAAAAAAAATTTGAGGGCCCCAGGCAATGCTTGTTCTAAATGGCCGATTTGAGTGAATCTCGTGCTTATTTGGCGTCATTCTTGAATTGTTGCATATAGTCGAGTGCAAAGCAGTTAAAATCGAGAGTTTACCTAAAATCGAAAACTGTGGTAAAATCGGAATCGTAAAATCGAATCGTAGAATCGTAGGATTTTAAGTACCATATAGAAATAACATATAATAATATTAATAAGGTAAATAATTAATAACACAAAGACTTATAAACATTTAAAGTGATAATTTTCAAGATTAATGTTCCAAAATCATCATTTTAATTGTTATTTAATGCGTAACTCAAAATAATTTATGAGGAAGGGATAGAGCTCATGGGGTTTGACTCTTGTTTTTCATGTTGTATCTAGGTAGTTTAACTCAAAGTAGTATTCCGACATGGTCTACTAAGCATGATTTAAAACTAAGAATAACTGAAATCCAATAAAATAATTAATGTCATTGGTTTGGTACAAATATATTCATTAATTAAATAATTTATTAATAATGATGTTCACTTACAATATTCTGACAATTGTTTTACCGATGAGTTAAACAAGGAGAAGTGAAAGGGGTTGACCGAACCCTAATTAGTTTTTCTTCTTGTTTTCAAATGTTCTTTTATTAGGAAAAATATATGAGAAGATCCCCGTCATTGTCCTTTCCACCAAAATAGTTCTCCTTCTTTTGAATTGGCCCAAGCTCCCTATTTAGTTCATATAGGATCAAAATCCCGATTTTGGTACGATTCTACGATTTTAACAATTTTAATCCCGATTTTGAACGATTTTAAGGTCCACCGATTTTATAGTAAAATCAGGATGGGAATCCCTAAGTAAAATCCTAAAATCCTACGATTTTACGATCAAAATCCCGATTTTGACTACATTGGTCGAGTGCATCCTATTAAGATGACCGAGAGTACATTAGGATTGTGCGAAGGCTAGTTCTCATGTGTGGTTAAATGAATGGGATGTCTGACTTGGTTACTCTTCGATTACAATCGCCATGCATCTAGTTCTCATGTGTGGTTAAATGAATGTGAGTTTTGAGCAGATCATTTTCTTCTGGTGTGATAGTTCCCTCTCACCATGGTGTGTAGCATCACAGTTATCATTAGTAAGGAAGATGGAGGAATAGGATTAGCCCACGACCCAAAAGTTGACCAACCCGATCATATTATCCCTTAGTCAACCCTGTTAAGCCGTGTGTCTAAGGGTCATTCCAGTGTTAGGTAGCTCACGCTACATGAGCTTGATTGATTTAGATAGAGTGACCCTACTTTCTTCGTGTCTACACCGTTATCGAGTCACTCTTGTGCTTGGATGCTCCATTCATATAATTTGAGCTTAAACGAGGTTCCACATGAGTGAGTTGTGTATGTTTTTGCTATGAAGTGAAGTGAGTGTGGAGGTAGTTTTTCAAGGTGAGCATTGTTCCTTAAGTTAAAGAATGTGGCATGTTTTTAGCTCTCTTTAGCCCTCAAAGAAAAGAGAGAGAGAAAAAAAGTAATCAATAAAAGGGCAAAGAAGAAAAGAGAGTGGCCACCAAAAATATAATAAATGTTGGACAAGCTCTTAGAACTGGTTCTTGGCATGCAAGCTATAGAAACACTTACATGTTGTTGACCTCTACACTCTTGTGCTTGAATTGAATAGAAAATGTAGAAAGAAAGTATGTGTGACATGGTTTGGTGATAGATTGTAGTTTGGAATTGGGGGAAGTGCGGTTTTTGGTCGATGTTAGTGGCCATTGAGTATAGGAGAGGGTTCTAGTCGAAACCTTAGAACCTTTTGTCTTAGGTTGAAGATGTGGAACCTCATGTTATGTTTGTTACTACCCAAAAAGCCTTTTCCCCATGTCCAAGATAATTTCCAGTCATCTGAACCCGCGTCTAAGACCTCCGGACGAGCTAGTGACGAAAACTATCCCGTGAACTCTAGCGTTTAGAGGTTGTCGCCGTGGTGGTGAGATGGTAGGGATGAGTGGAGACGATTGTGCACATCTTTTGCACCAAAAGGTCCTGACCCCAGTGGTCGAGAGTGAGCAATTCATTCTTATTCTTGCATGTTCATATCTATCCCGGTGAGGACCTATGTTGCCCCGTTGTCTGTTCCTTTGACTTGAGTTTTATGCATGGTCGGTTGTGATTGATTAGTGGCCTGGTTGATACTTGCATTGATTGTGGATAGAATGAGAACTTTTCATTTGCCCATTTTTTATGCAATTGAATGTCATTTATGGTGGATGCCAGAATTGTTTGAGACGGTTCGAGTGTCGATGCCCAAATAGTCATTTGAGATTCAAAGCCTTGTGCCTTTTGAAGTGTCCCCTAGCTATCTTTGTAGGTTGAAATATTACCAGGTTGAGAATGGTTTGCTTGGGGACAAGCAAACGTCTAAGTGTTGGGGAGTGATTCGAGCCCAAATGTACACATTTTACACCTCATTTCTTATTCATTTAGCTTATTATTTCATCGTTCCTCAACATATTTTACGCTAGGTTGTGCTTGTTTGATACATTTCAGGTCCTAGCTCGTGTGGAAGGGTCGAGGATAAGTTTTGGGATAATTGGAGGTCAAAAAGGGCAAAAACCGAAGAAATGTCCGAAGTAACAGTGAAGTGAATGCATCCAGGAAACAACCGCAGTTCACGGTCGGACAAGGCAGTTCACGGTCTTCTAAGACCGTGAAGAGGAGGCATGGGCCGTGAATATCAAGGCGTCCAGGGCACTTACTGAGGTTACTGACGCTAGCCGAGTTCATGGTCTCTAAGACCGTAAACCCACGATAGTGAAGCGGTGCGTTTTGGACGACACTGAGTTCACGGATGCGTTTAGGTATTCACGGCCGTGAACTGGCCAACGCGTCCGTGAACTGATCACTTTCGGGCAATATATGAAGACAACAGTGGGGAGAGAGAAGGGGGAGCTGGTTTAGGAAAAGAAATTCAATTCCCTCTCTCGGGTTTGGCCAGATAACCAAAAGGGGAGTTCAAGTGTGTGTGTGTGTGTGTGTGTGTGTGTGTGAGAGAGAGAGAGAGAGAGAGAGAGAGAGAGAGAGTGCTAGAGTGATCTTAGAGCATCATTGGAGGCTTGGGTGGACAAGGATTCAAGCCTAAAAGAAGATCTTAAGCTCAAATTTGTAATCCATCTCTCTCTCTAGAAACTCACTCTTTTCTCTTGGTTGTTGTAGATCCCTAAGTAATATTTTGTAATTATTTATTTAGATTGAATGATTGTCATTGGGTATTGTTAAATTCAATGATCGAGGTATTGTTCCTGTTGATTGTGCATGCTTGTGCTTAGCAACCTAAGGATTGTGCATGATCGTGCTTAGCATCCTTAGGTTTGTGCATGTTGGTGCTTAGCAATCTAATTAGCCACTTTAACCTAGATTAGAGAGGAAAATCCCCCTTTCAAGGGAGACTCAATCGAGTTGGTTTTCCTTCAGCTTTTTAAGCAACCTAACTAAGGTTAATTTAGGGCAAACCTCAATGTTGAATTAAGAAAATTGGTTAAGCGCCATTAAGCCGACCAACCCTTGAGTTGAGTGAGGGAGTAAGTCAGCTACCGATTGCCTAAACCGAGAGGGCAGAGTGACACGGCCTATAATGTATACCTCGATTTAGCAATCAAGAGTGTGGTCTACGACCATATTTGCATCACTTTGCGGTTCGTGGTCACCTTGCCCATAACAATCGTTCCGATCCAACGAGTCTTGGTAGCTAGTTAGGTGGAAGCAACTCCTAGGTGAAGCTCCCTTAGTTAGAATTTTCCTTTATTTACTTTTCCTTGCTTGTTTAGTTTGTAGTTTTCTTAGTTTGAAAATCCAAAACCGTTTTGCTAGATAACAACTTAAGAGATTGAAGTAGGGGTACATGGATCGGCCCGGGTTGACAATTTAAATACTTGCTCTATACTGCGCCTAGCTAGACTTTAAAAACTTGGGCTGTAGGTGGGATCAATTTGTGGTGTAGTTTCGTGCGAGTCACCTCTAAAGAGCCCCTCTACTCGTATTTTTTGTGGCTATTCCTGGTTTTTTTTTTGCCATAGATATTCCCCAAAAGGGAAACAACAGATATAGTGTACAAAAATAAATTCTTTTCAGGCTGAAACTAAAAGAAGGGACGTCGGCCGACCAACCACCGACCAACGATAAGAGAGCATTCTTTCCACAATATGGGAAGCTCTTTAATACCTATTCGGCAAAGACTAAGTCCTTAACATAATTTCCACCCTTTGCAGGGCGGAGTCAAGGACCCAGCCCCTGCGGCTATCAGATGACCGCAAAGCACCAACCCTGCAAATCTAACAATAAAATATGTCCGAAGCAAAAATATGATAGAAATTAAATCACTAAGGATACGAATCCAAAAGCTACAGAACCAAGCAACACCAACTAAGTAGATAGTAAAGCAATACTAGGCAATGAACTAGTCATATGGTTTCATAATTAAAAGGCAAAACTAGAACTGCGAGAAGATAGCAACTACTCAAGCACCCAAAAAATCAAAGTCAACGAAAAAAATCACCTCCTACAAGATTGCCAAGAACCCAAAAAATCAAAGTCATCGGTCAAAATCACCTTCTGCTAGATTGCTTTCACTAACATCCGAACTACAAGTGTGTTAGTAGAACAAAAGCCATTTTATGCATTCCCTTATGACCCAAGAACAGAACCAAAATCAGTGAAAGCTTATTGTCAAAACCTTGAAACAATTACCAAAGAAGTCCTAACTGAAAACGAAATCATTATACTGGTTATAGAACCCACATGCATCCTACTGGACTAAAACAAAAAGACTAAAGGGAATACTAAACTTGAAACAATTACCAAAAGACTGTCCCAACTTAATTCATAAAACAGAAAGAAGAAAGGGAAGTTGGTCAACCTGTTGTGGAACCATCGATAGGGGTGGGCATTCAGCCGGTTCGATTTCGACCGAACCGAAATTATAAATATTGGGTCCCTGAGTTCTCCCAAACCTCAAACCGAATTTGAACTGAATTATAATTCAGTTCGGTTGGTTTAAACCGAATTATAATTCAGTTCGTTTTTACACACAAAATAAAAAGGGATTGTAGAGGAATCCCAAAAAAAATCAGCAGAAGCAAGCATATATCTGGATTTCACAGAATACTCACCTGAAGATTCATAGTGCCAAACAATACGGTCAGCAACCGGAAAGAGTGGAAGAGGAATTGAATAAATAATCTTCATGGTGGAGTCATCAAACAAGGAATGGAGAAGAGGGCAAATCCAAGACCCAGAAGCATGATCGATTAAGGAAGATACCATTGGAGAGGATAGTACAACTTTGGGAAGGGGTGTAGGACGAGAAAGAGGTGAAGTCGGCAGCCATACTACATCAGTTATATGTACCAAATTTTCGGATCCTATTTGCCAACGAATACCACTGAGCAGCAAATTTCTAACCTCAAGAATACCTCGCCATGCCCAATACAGATGAGATCCAAGAGAAGCGAGGAGAAAAGATGAGTTGGGAAAATATCGACCCTTGTACGAATTCTCCAAGCTTGTTTTTCAAGAAGAGCAATGTTGTTGCTATTGAAGTCGCGGAAACCTAGCCCCCCATCCAACTTATGTCGACATAAAGCAGGCCATGAACACCACCTTCTGAAACTCAAAAAAGAGACATAATAGCATCTGCTTTTGCTACAGTAACATTAGTACTGAATGAGACCATAGACTTCTAAAGATTCACCATTTGGCCACTCATCAACTGAAAAGTAGACAGTAAATTAAGAAGATTATGACATTCCAAGATGGAAGCACAGAGAAAAAGATAACAATCATCAGCAGAAAACATATGGGAGATAGCTGGACAACGCCGATGAATCCTAAGCGCATGAAGCAAATTGTCAGAAACTGCAGAGTTGATGCAAGATGAAAAGGCTTCAGTATATAAAGCAAATAAAAGAGGAGAGCCATTAATTAGAACCTAAAAGGAAACGGAAGAAACACAAGCACGCATCCAGCGAAGCCATTGGTCACAGAAACCCAAGCGACTAAGAACCTGGAAAAGGAAGTTCCACTCAGCCCGATCGTAAGCTTTCTCCATGTCTAACTTTAATGCCATCCATTTGTCTTGACCTTGAGTCTTAGTCTTCAAGAAATGCATGACCTCCTGTCCCTATAGAATATTATCGGAGATTAAATGCCCTTAGACAAACCCATTTTGGTAAGGACCCACCACCTGAGGAAGAATGTCTCGAAGACGAAGCATCAAAACACGAGCTATAATCTAATAGGGGACTTTGCAGAGACCGATTGGCCTAATTTGACGCATCGTTTCTGCATTATCAACCCTTGGAAGGAGAGTTAGCCAAGTATGATTAAAGTTGTGCAACAAATGACCAATTTGAAAAAAATTCCAGAACTGCAACCATAACTGAATCACCAACGACACCCCAAAATGCCTGAAAGAAGATGTCGGTGAAGCCATCAGAGCTAGGTGCTTGAAATCCACCAATGCTAAACACCACAGTTTGAATCTCTTCCCGAGAAGGCATTAAGGCTAATGCAACATTCATGGAAGGGGTAACAAGAGCAATGAGTCTCAAATCAGCCACAAAAGGAACGGACATCAGGAGATTCAGAAGTACCCAAATTCTTGAAATAAACAACAACTACATGACCTTTGGCATCTTCTCCAGTGTGTAAGGATCCTTGATCATCACGTAAAGCCAGGATTCGATTCTTTCGGCTCTTATGTAAAGTATTAGGTGAAAGAATCGAGTGTTGGAGGCGCCTCCAATTAGCCATTGATTTTGGAATTTTTGTTGCCAATAGATCTCTTCCTGCAAGTATGCGGCAGATAATTGAAGTTCAAGTACAGGAATGATTGACCAATTCACCTGAGATTTATGATGTTTGGTAGATATAGCATGCTGCAATTCCCGAATGGTACGTGCAGAGTTGGAGCAGTAGCAGCCCAACCATACAACCTGTGTCTGGAATTTTTCAAGAGATTAAAAAGCTAAAATCGGGAGGAGCCATCTATAAGGTGTAACCATTGATCATGAATAATGTCTATGGCTTCTTGATTATCAATCCATCACCCATCTAAATAGAAATTTGATTTAGTCCTAATAGCAGAAGGCTGGAACTGGATAAGAATCATTCGATGATCCAAGCCTAAATCGGCGAGGTGGAGGACTTGCATGCCAGGCCACGATGTGAATTCCAGAGGCGAGCATACACACCTGTCAAGCCTCTCCAAAACATGCTCATTTGGAGAACGACGGTTTGACCAAGTAAAAGGCGGCCCCTGGAAGCCGATGTCTTGTAGGGAGGAATTCGTAAGAAAATTCTGCAATTGTGCAAGAGAAGCTGGCAAGGGAAAGGGACCGCCCTGTTTCTCTTAAATAGACAACAAACAATTGAAATCGCCTAATACAAACATTGGAGAAGAGGAAGAGGAAACCAAAACTGAAATTTCATTCAACTGTACACAGATAAACTTAAGAGAACCAAATACAGGATGTGAGCATTCAACAATAAGAAAGGACTGAGATTGTACAGGAACAACGCATAAAACCTCATTAGTCTATGCTATTGCCATTCCACTAGGGGGTCGTTTGGAAGTTGCGATTGTTAGTGCTGTATTTGTTAAATACATGTATTGTCCACAATACAACATTTGGAAGTGTCAAGTTGCAAAACAATGCATATATTGTTTTGTGTGGGTCCCATCAACAATCAACAAAATTGAGGGATTGTACAATTTCAACTAAAAGTTGAGATTGTTGTGATTGTTGGGTTAATAATTGAGCACCTTTACCTTTTCCAATTATGACCATAGTTCTTTTTGTTTTATATTAAAAGTGGAGGACAAATATGACATTTCCTTATAAAGTAACTTTATAATAATCAATTCATAAATTATAATCTCAACAACCAAACAATGTAATTTCAAAATACATCTATTGTATCAATGCATGCATTTATATCATAGTGATTCATAACAATACAAAGATTTAACATATGCAACTTCCAAACGACACCTAGAAGTATTAACAACCTGACTAAAACACAATCTGAAAATCCAAAATGGCGAACTTGATTCCGAACCTTCCTATGACTGCATTTAGTTTCACACAAAAATAAAAGCATAGGAGCCCTACTATTTACAACTGCGAGAAGAGATGTCCTTGTCAAGGCATTGCCAAAGCCTCTGCAATTCCATCTTAAAACACTCATCTAGTCGTCCCAAAAAGACTCGCCAATTGATGTTGGAGAAGACAAGATAAGCTGCAAATACAATCTGTGAAAGATCAAATCAATTTCGGAGCATAAAAGCACCACACAATCCAAGGGAATCAAAGCGCCAATATGGCAAAGGTATGTCGCCAACAGGTCGCGATATATAGAAAGTCGAACACAGGCGATGTAGACGATGAGTGCATAAACCAACAGTTTGGAGGATAACTCTCGTTTAGGGACTCGATGTTTTCCTTGAAGGAGATAGAAGGATTGAGCAGCAACAACATTGACAGGTGCAGTTTTCGTGGCTGGCATAGAACAACATTGAATTCAGTAATTCAGTAATGAACAGCGTTGGAGAGGTCTCTTAGAGCAAAAATTGATGTCTCCGGTGTTGAAAACTGCGAACACCTATTGTCAAGACATTAGCTTTCAGAAATCGAGCAATGAAATTGAAATTCGTTAATAGAAGGGCCAGGAAAGGAGGTTGGAGGTGTGGGTAGAGTAGTGGAAGCGGCGGCCAGAGGCCAGAGATGTGGGAAAGCGGTGGACAAGGATTTTTTAAGGTTTCAAAAGGCGTCGGGGGGGGGGGGGGGGGGGGGGAGGGGGTTCGAAAGCGGTGGACAGAGAGCGAGCAGTGTGCCTATTCCTAGGTTGAACGTCCAAAAGACGAAAATTGGTAGATGCTTTCCCAAAAATTATCATATATACTCTGCTCCCAAAAACGGTGGTGGATTTGTTTGACAAAATTTCAAATGGCACCTAAACTGTCATTGGGGTTTTTTTTTTATTTTCTCTGGATCTAGATTGTTGACTTGTCAAAACGCAACTTCTTCAAAGACGACATTAACAGCGCTGTTTTTAGCTTTAATCTATCGTTCTTGGAGCCATTTCTGCTTTCGTCGTTTGAGCTTCATTTTATCATCGTCACTGCACTTTGATGTCCCCAATCAAGTCAAGGTGGCACTCAAAGATACTATGGCTTGAAATCGCACAAAATCCTACCAAATGGTGTATCGAAATGGTAAAAGTAATTTGGAGTTGCTTTGCGATTTTGACATAATTGCACATGTTTTTAGCCAGTTTTATTGTGGTGTTTACATCGCCCGGGGTTCAATTTTACACTAGGTTTGTGTGTTTTTAGCATGTTTCGAGTCTTAGAGCAGAAGTCAAATGAAAGAGAGTGAAAATTGAGCGAAATGGACAAACAGGCAGAGATCACACCCAAGGAGCAATTATAAGAGTTAGTCGACCATGAAGATGGGGCCTAGGCCATGAAGATGGATATATTTCAGGAGACTTTGCATGTCTCGCGGGCAAGTCAGTTGTCACGGACTCACGGTCACCAAACTGTGACAATTTCCACCCAACCGTGAAGTCTATTGATGAAACAACACGTTTTGGGATGAGATCATGAGCAGACTTCCAAATTCACGGGTGTGACAATCGACTGTAAAAAGTGCCCGACAGATGACTCATTCCAACTACAACATCCCGATCGACGGCCAAGCATAATCGGCGACCGGGTGTAGCATAGGGCAAGCAAGCTATAATGATTTATTATACCATGGGGATCTAGCCAACCTAGGATAGTTATTAATAAAACTAAACTAACCAACCGAAGCTAACCACTAACCTAGCTGTAAACACTACTTTTTGTCCGGGTTAAAACAAATTTAATTAAACAAAATTTAGATTTTATTGAAGGTTTGCAATAGCGAATCTTAAATGATCTTCAAGCTAAAACATATTGATAATACTTGAGATGGCTCGTGTGATGAGATTCAGCAATAAAAAATCTTGATCAATATGATTTGATAGAGAGAGTTGACATGTTTTGCTTTGGCTTGACGAATTAGACAATTTAACTGTTGTGTGAGTTGATCTTCGGATGGTTCTTAAGACTTTGGATTTGGTGAGAATTGTACCTTGGGAATCAATAGAAGAGTCAAATTAAGAAAAATAAATAAGTATCTTATTAAAATAAATTAGAATTAAATCAAACATAAATAAAAATTGCAATCACAATGCTATTCCATAATAATTCGTAATAATTCTTACATTAAATTTACAAACAAAATACAACAATAAAGTAAATGTAGGCTCAAATCAAGAATCAAAATCAAAGTCAACTTTTAGTCAATTCCTTCAACAAAAGTCAAGTCGGTCAACCCAATCAGGTCTTACCAAACCCATACTGGTCCGATCCAAAATCGGTACAATAAAAAACTTGTTCCCCAAGCTGACTTTTTCCTATAAAAGAACCCTTTGGGCTCTCGCAAGAAGGGGGGACAGCTTCTTCTCCCCGGGGAAGACTCCCTCTCTTCTTCTTCTTCTTCTTCTCTTTTGGTTTCCACTTTGCTTCCCTCTGAAAACAAAATCTTCTCTCCACTTCCTCCTTTTCTAATCCAAAAACACAGCAGGGGAACTCTGCAAAACTTCCCAGTTACTTTCCCTTCCTCACAAAGAAACAGAGACGGCTTCTTCTTCCCCACGCCAAAACAGACAACGCAAAGTGTGAAGACCTCCCCTCCTAATCCGATTAGAAAACAGAGCAAAAAAGAGAGAATAAAACTCTGCAAAAATCCCACTTTCTCTCCTTTCTTATTCCTTCTTTTAGCCACGCACAAACCACACGAGAAAACATACACAAGGAAAAAAAGAAGCAAAAGGCAGCAGCAAGAAATCCGAAAAGAGACAGAATCATCTCCAACCGTCGAACAACCAAGGTTGGTAGTCACACAAACCCAACTATTGTCATATCTAATCATCACCATTCACAATCATTCACATCTATCTATCTATGTTAAACCTTTCTAAAAAGAAAACCAGACCTCTCTGTTTTTCGCTACCACTGCCGCCGGTGACTATGGCTGGCGGTGGTTGCCATTTCTCCACTCCAGCCAACTATCTTTTCCCTCGCCCAAATCGAACAACATACAGGTACCCCCCAAACATCAAATTTCAAAACACACAACACAATTTTCAAAAATCAACCCACATTGAACATCCACAATTACACCCTCAATCTGCAATCAAGCATCAAATCTCGGTTTTAGAACCGTAATCCCAAAACAAACCATTGTCACACGACTTTTCAGATTCAAACTACCAAAAACACCACCGAAATCTTACCGAAATAGTCAAATCCCTTTTCCACGTTGGCATCGCCGTCGGCGCGATCCGGGACTGGCGGCGGCGACCTTCTCCATCCCATCATGTTCAAAACTTAACCAGAAAATACAAAACCTAGTTTTGTCCCCTGTCACCATCGTCGTTGGCATCGGCCGCCCTCGCTGCTCAATCACCGTAAGTCGCTGCCCGACCTCTATTCCCTTGCTCCTCCATCTTCCCTCTCTGCCGATAGCTACTTCCCATTTCCGCATCGATCAGCCCCAAAAATCCAAATCAAAACACAAACAAAGTCATGCATTAGAACTGAAATACTCGATCAAACCTAAAAATTGACATGCGAGCCAAAAAATCCCCTCTTACCTTCGTTGTGACTGCCATCATCGTCGCCGTTGTCAATCGCCGGCATTTCTCGCCATCACCGTCGTCTCCAATTTCTTCCTCTCTTCTCGTCATTACCAGAAAGAGAGAGAGGAGAGCGCAGATCGGCAATAGGGAAGAACAAGGGCTGATCGAGATAAGGAAGGATTAAAAGATTGAGAGAGACGAGGGAGATCAAATGGATTTCCTATGTTTTCTTCCTTTTCTTTTTCGTTGGTTTTCCAGACAGAAATCAAAGAAAACGAAGGAAAGGAAGGGTTGTGCGGCTATTATTTGCCCTCTAACCCTCAAATTTTTATTTATACGATCGACCATCTAGATCGACCAATTTACCTTTTCAATTTCGTTGAAACCACAACCCATGCCATCTTTCTTCCTTCTCAAAAAAGTAAAAATACAGTTTCCACTAAGGGTCGAATCCGAGACCTTTAACTATTAAATACTCCATAATTAATATCCGTAGTGATTCGCTAAAAAACAACACCTAACAATGGCCAAGTGTAACCAATGAAAGGGACTGCAGTATAGTGGCACAAGTAATAAATATCGAATCCACGGGTCTCTAGAGTTACTATTACTCAGCTTCAGTTCATTATCTAGCAAACTAGATTAAGGATTGATTAACTAAACTACTCTACTAACTAAACTAAGTAAAACTACTAATTACAGTTTGGGAACTCACTTAGGAATGATTCCCCCTAGCTCCTCAATTAGGTCCCAGTTGTAATTCCTTTTGGTTGTTTTACTGTTGATTAAACTGCGGAAGATCCGACAGTAGCTTGGAATCTCTTAAGCTGACCAAGCCCTCTCAGTCTAACTACCCGGCAGACGACTAGTCTTCACCGGGATAGAAAGCTGAAGCAGTAAGAACAGAACTCCACTACTGGAATTAGATTCCATTACAAAGCAGTAAACTGGCTAACTCTCGTATAGCCAATCTCCTACTACCGAATGATGAGACTCTAGCAACCTAATCAGATTCTATCTATCTCACATTGCAGCAGAAATCAGGAAAAGTTTATCAGACTTCAATTGACTCAATAAACATGCATCATTCGATTATAATCAAACAATATAGCATCCAAAACTTCATACAAGAAAGATCCTAACTCATGGAACTAGGGTTCCTCAAAACCTAAGTGAAAGGAAGTTACTCCATAGAGAAGAGAGAGACTGCAGAAATCTGATCTAGATCTTCAATCTCCATCTCCAAGCTTGATTCCCGAGCTCCAATGGTGAAGAAATCCTCCAAAATAGCTCCAAGAATGTTCCCAAGTCGCTCTCTCTCTCTAGGGTTCGTCCCTTGGGTGTTTGGGATCCAAAACCCAGCTCTCCCTCTCCCTTGGCTCGAAATTGGCCTAAAAAACCCGATTCTGGGCGAATTACGGGCTGAATTACGTCGTAATTCTTCCATGCCCGTATTTTGCCCAAAACACGCGTTTTGGTTAAGTTTCAGCGCACCCAAAGCTCCTCTCGGCAGTGAAATTACGGGCATGGGAGGGGAAATTACGGTCGTAATTCTCCTGCCCGTAATTCTTCCTCCACCCCTGTTCAAAGCTTCGTTTCTCCCTCGTCCGGACTCCGAATCAGTCATCGTTTGAACCCAGACGCTCGTAGTCTCGTCTTCTTTCTTTTCATAACAAACTTTCATGATTCTTTGTCCATAAAGTGAGGTAGAGATCCATTCTTCTTCAGGTCATGCTCGTGTTTCTTCTCCCTAATCGCCAATTGATCTCCGATTGACTTGAAACTTGCGCCTACGCTTCACTTTATGTGCTAGGGCCTGAAATGTGACAAAGGAACACAACCTAGCGTAAAATAGGCCAAAGAAGCGATAATGCAAGCTTAAACGATCAAGAAACAAAGGGGAAAACATGTGCAAATATCGAGTCATCAAATTCCACCACACTTAACTGTTTGCTTGTCCCCAAGCAAACCTGACTCAAACCAATGCAACTCTCCAGACCTCTATAGTAACAAACAACCCCAATCGTCGGTAGAGGATTTCCTAGATCATATAGCAGCTTACGAGGTCAACTGGTCTTCTAAGACGTTCCCTATCTCTCTCAATGCGAGTACTAGACTCAAGCCAGGATCATGAGAAGAAGTAGAAGTAAGACAGTCAGTTCATGGATAAAGAGACTCACACCATCCACTACCAAGGACTCGTTGTACCGGGGTGCTCTTTCACTTCATTTCACCGTTGGAACCCCATTTTCACTTTCATTTTACTTACTTTTTTTCTTTTTATTCACTTAGCAGGGGTTCCAACTGCAGTCTTTTGCACGGTCGACCCTTATTAGTCGAGCAAGAGCAATTTCTGTACATCTGGCGCTCGCCAGAGTACTTCTTTTAACTCCTTTTCCTCAACTTGTGTGGAGGGTCAATGAAATTAAGGGGGGTCGGAAGCTCTATCCGTGCCCTTAAAAACACATCCTCGAGTAGGCAAACCGTTCAACGGGTGAAAATTTTACTTGTACTAGAGATAGCTTAGCTTCACCTTGTAGGAGTACCCCACTAAGGATCACTAAAATCTCTTCCAAAACCCGATTTTGTGCAATGAACGGTGCCACACACGTTGGGCTTACCCCATGTTTAAGATTTAATGATTTTGACATGGAGGACCAACTGCTTCCCATTTTCCATATGAGCACCCTGTTCGATACACGAGTCCATAACATAATCCAAACTGAGTCAACATTACCACATGAATTCAACGGTCTTAGCTCCACTAATTCACAAAATCAACTGGCACAACAGAGAGCTAGATAGGAAAAATCTTATACTTCAACATCCTCCATAGTGCTACACTACCTCCCTAGGTTGCACATTACTATAGAGACTATCAATTCAAAGCATACTGAGCAGGCAATTTGAAAGGAAACACATACTTGGAGCCCTCAAATTTAAAAATTTGGACAGTGAATTAGGCTCCAAGCACACAAACAGCCAAACATTCACCCGCATACATAATCGAACACCCCCCCACACTTGAGCACGACATTGTCCTCAATGGAGGAAAGATAAGGGGGTAGAACGAAGTTACCATATCAAGGGTGAATGATGATGTACGGGTCAGGCAGTGCATTCCAGGAGGAGAGAGTAGTCAGAACACAAACACCAAATAAAATCTCAAAAAGGTTGAGTTATTGACTCTAAAATCAAAGAACAAAACTGACTCAACCGAAGAGAAATAGAGAAAGAAATGCAAACCGACTGGTTGTGTTGCCTCCCAACAAGCGCTTCTTTCACGTCGTGAGTTGGACGATGGCTCCTAAGTTTCGGTCCATGCTAGAACCTCCTTGAAGTTGAGGTTCTCGTCGATGAGGTGGAGTCTCAAGTCACGAGCATGTGGTGTGGCAGGTGATGAAGGCTCATGTACTTGATGCAGATGAGGTCTCCACCCTCGAGACCTCTTCTTCTCTTCTCTCGTCTCATTGCCCCAAACCAGATATGACAGCATCGATTGGCCACCATCGCGTCCACCAAGAGGGACCGATGTTGATGTGGCCTTGGTATGGAAAAAAGACACTACAAATGGGTCCTTGCCAAGCAGCTACTCAAAGTTTGGTGGAGATATCAAATGTAACATAGGGCCGGTGCAAGCCTCTTCCACCTCAACTTCATCCTCAGCCTGGACGCCAATTGCTTCCTCAACCCCCCTTTCTTCTTCAAAATGTGGTCTCTCCCCTGGGAAAAGATCAAGAACCACCTCTTCTTTTCTTTCTTCCTCATCATCCACTACTTCCTTCCTCATCCTTGCTCGCTCTTCTTCTTCTAGAACAGATTGGAGAGCAAGTCGCCAAGCAATTTCTTCAATGGGATCATCTTGCATCTCCTCGCACGGGCCCAGCATGTTAGAGCATAAATGAGGAAAGGTGTGGTCTGCAACCAAAGGACTTTCCTGATCATGATTATCATAAGAGTTCTCTATGATAACTTCTGTATGCTCCTCAACGCTCCCATAGCCTTTGTCATCCTCCACCTCTTCTAGCGTGGTAGCAGAAAGGTGATCTTGGGCAAGATGCGAGCAAACTTGCTTCACCCACTCTGTTTGCTTCGCTGAGCGCTGAACATTCTCCTCCATATCATGGAGAAATGAGGGATCGGAAGTGGCAAGGGCTTTGATTTGAAGATCCATCTTGGAGCATGATTTCTCAGTGTCTCGAGCAAACTGCTCCACGAGAAGCCTTAATTGTTTGTTTGGATCTTCCAGTGAAGTGTAGCATGGCTCTGCAGAGTGGCCCGTGAAGGCCGCCATGGGTAACTCAAGATCTGATGGCCCTTCTTGTTGTGGGAGGAATTCTTCTTGATAAGGAGATTGTTCTTGATATGCCCAGGGGTCTGGTTGTTCTCCGTAGAAAGGGGGTTGGTACTGGAACTCGAATCCATAGTCTTCTCCTCCTTGATTGCTCCAGGGAGTCTCGGGGTAATACCACTCGGATGGTGGTGGATACCCTCACTGGTTAGAGAAGCCATGCGGATCCATGATTCAGATCTGCACCAACAAAAACAAAAAACACCCAAGTGAAAAGCAAGGGTGGAAAAGAAAAGAAAAACGCTAAAGTAACAAACTTCTGCCTTTCCTAATACTCTAGAAAGTCCCCGGCAACGGCGCCAAAAACTTGACTCGCTATGACACAACACCTAACAATGGCCAAGTGTAACCAATGAAAGGGACTGCAGTATAGTGGCACAAGTAATAAATATCGAATCCACGGGTCTCTAGAGTTACTATTACTCAGCTTCAGTTCATTATCTAGCAAACTAGATTAAGGATTGATTAACTAAACTACTCTACTAACTAAACTAAGTAAAACTACTAATTACAGTTTGGGAACTCACTTAGGAATGATTCCCCCTAGCTCCTCAATTAGGTCCCAGTTGTAATTCCTTTTGGTTGTTTTACTGTTGATTAAACTGCGGAAGATCCGACAGTAGCTTGGAATCTCTTAAGCTGACCAAGCCCTCTCAGTCTAACTACCCGGCAGACGACTAGTCTTCACCGGGATAGAAAGCTGAAGCAGTAAGAACAGAACTCCACTACTGGAATTAGATTCCATTACAAAGCAGTAAACTGGCTAACTCTCGTATAGCCAATCTCCTACTACCGAATGATGAGACTCTAGCAACCTAATCAGATTCTATCTATCTCACATTGCAGCAGAAATCAGGAAAAGTTTATCAGACTTCAATTGACTCAATAAACATGCATCATTCGATTATAATCAAACAATATAGCATCCAAAACTTCATACAAGAAAGATCCTAACTCATGGAACTAGGGTTCCTCAAAACCTAAGTGAAAGGAAGTTACTCCATAGAGAAGAGAGAGACTGCAGAAATCTGATCTAGATCTTCAATCTCCATCTCCAAGCTTGATTCCCGAGCTCCAATGGTGAAGAAATCCTCCAAAATAGCTCCAAGAATGTTCCCAAGTCGCTCTCTCTCTCTAGGGTTCGTCCCTTGGGTGTTTGGGATCCAAAACCCAGCTCTCCCTCTCCCTTGGCTCGAAATTGGCCTAAAAAACCCGATTCTGGGCGAATTACGGGCTGAATTACGGTCGTAATTCTTCCATGCCCGTATTTTGCCCAAAACACGCGTTTTGGTTAAGTTTCAGCGCACCCAAAGCTCCTCTCGGCAGTGAAATTACGGGCATGGGAGGGGAAATTACGGTCGTAATTCTCCTGCCCGTAATTCTTCCTCCACCCCTGTTCAAAGCTTCGTTTCTCCCTCGTGCGGACTCCGAATCAGTCACCGTTTGAACCCAGACGCTCGTAGTCTCGTCCTCTTTCTTTTCATAACAAACTTTCATGATTCTTTGTCCATAAAGTGAGGTAGAGATCCATTCTTCTTCAGGTCATGCTCGTGTTTCTTCTCCCTAATCGCCAATTGATCTCCGATTGACTTGAAACTTGCGCCTACGCTTCACTTTATGTGCTAGGGCCTGAAATGTGACAAAGGAACACAACCTAGCATAAAATAGGCCAAAGAAGCGATAATGCAAGCTTAAACGATCAAGAAACAAAGGGGAAAACATGTGCAAATATCGAGTCATCACGTAGTTAGTTTACTCGCTTTAAAATATTATACTAATAGCTTCTATCATTCTTATTAATTAACAACCTTAATATGTAAACGTGTGTTAGCATCGTATGATTATTACTTTGTCAAATTACAAATTATTATCTTAATCACGATCAATAAAACGTGTTAAGATCACATCATAACTCATTCTAATCGAACTACGTGGACTTTGATCCCGATCACTCGGGTATGTAGGCAACCAATAGGTTCAAGTCCAACTAATTAAAAATATTTTCTTTACTTTCTAGATTTTGCGTCAATAGACGGATAATCTAATTGTATACCAATTTTAACTCATTAGTCCAATTGGACTCCAAAATACGTAATTAACAAATTTTAAATAATAACTATCCAATTAATCAAATCATATAATTAAATACATCAAACAAGGCGCAAATAATAAAACACCCAACCTTTTAAAACTTATCGATTTAAGTAGTACCAATTTTTGGGCGTTTTGGGGTGTGAATACACTTCCCCACACGTAACCGTACTCCCGAACCCAAAATCTCAAAATTTCGCAGACCAAATCCCGATTTTGACCCTAAGGTCATGACCGGACCATTGGTGTTCGATCCACCACAATTAAGATCGATGGCGACTCCGAGCATATTCGCGATTGGTCCTTCGATCCCGAGGGGCGGTTGCGACACTAGCTATTTACAAGGTTAGGAGCTCTCTCGGGTTGAATTGTCCAAGTTCCGTCCTTTGGATCGATGTTGGGTATCCTCCTAGCTCGATTGACTCAATACCCTACCGTTAGGAGATGGAGTCCCTCGAGAATGACCCGGAACGTTGAATCGATGAATGGGGTGTGCTCTATTCAACCTAGGGAAACCCTATAACGTAGGAGATTGATGTAATCGACTCCCTCAGGGATTACCCGGACAATATAGGACAAGGAGTGACCCAATGACACTAATAATGGGCTCTAAGGGGATTCTCTCCCTCCTAGGTCAAAAGCTCAAAACATGAAAATGGAAACCCAACTCATGCCATTCATTAAAACTTCCATCAATTAAGGGGTCATTTGGAAGTTACGATTGTTTTGTTGAGATTGTCATTATGCATGTATTGTTTACAATGCATCGTTTTGTTTTTTTTGTTTTTTTAGCAGAAACAATACATGGATTGTTTCTATGATGTGACAGAAACTATCACTCATTTTGAGTGATTGTTATATCTCAACTTTTAGTTCTGATTGTTGAGATAGTTGAGTTGAGTTTGTTTTGTCTCAGCTTTTAGCTGACGCGACATACACAATCACACATACCAAACGTTGTATTCTACAATGCATCAAATTCGACAATACATGTATAATATTATACATGCATTCTCAACAATACATCTATTTAACAATCGCAACTTCCAAATGACCCCTAAGTAAAATTACAATGGTTATTTCAACACCGACCTATAGACAAAAACACGATAATATTCGGGTTTGAGCTGTGTGTTCGCGCTCACTAAGACCGTGAACCGCCAGGCATCTAGAGCATAAATCGCTTTCACTAGACTCAAGTCAGTTCACGGTCGTAAGACCGTGAACTCGGGCCATTGCCCGTGAACTGGACTTAGTGATGGTGCGTGTTTTGACTTGAGATCACGGTCCGTGTTTTCAGGTCACGTTCGTGAACTAGGACCGTGATCTGAGCCCGATCTGGGTATATAAAAGAGGTTGAGCTGAAGGAAGTAAGGGAGAGACCTAGTGTGAGAAACATCTTATTCTTCATATTTCTAGAGTGAGAAAGTGACGAACCAGAGAAGAGGAGAAGTTAGGGTTTCATCTTCAAGCAAGGATTTGGGAAATCCTCTCCCAAAGGACGATCTCTTCAACAGAAGGAGCAAGGCTAGCGTCTCATTGATGGTTTTCCTTCTTCTCTCTTGTGTTTTCCCTTATCCTAGCATGGAGTAGTCCCTTCTTTCACTTGGGTGTTTGTAAACCCTAGCTACAATTATGTGAATGTTTGTATAGATTGAATGATTTGAGTGTGAATGTGTTTAATGTGAATGTGGATGTATTATTCATGAATGATTGGGTTGTGTGAAAGCCTATCAATCTATTTGTCATTCTAAACTAGGTAGAGAGAAACCCCCCTTTCTTTGAAAGAGGCTTGCAAAGCTGGGTTTTCTTAGGTGATTCATTGTCTCCTATCTTGATTAATGTTGGGCACCAGTATGTATTCGTATTAGCACGTAGGGTTGGTAGTAATTGGTCGTCCGAACTCCGATTTGTGGGTGAAGTATTGGGAACCCTTAGTCGATAGGTCGAGAGAGTCACTTTGGTGGCTTGAATCGAATGCCCTCGACGTAGAGACCGAGAGAGTAGCATTTGGCTACTTGTTTCACTTTCCTACGGTTTACAACCACCTTACCACATGTGACCATTCGATTTAACAAGTCATAATTGTTAGCTAGGGGGAGCAACATCCGAGTGAAGCCTTATGAATTAGTGTCAAATCCATTTAATTTTCCATACAGTTTAGCTATAGATCGTTGTTTTCACCAAAAATAAATCACAAGATAATGTTACAAACAATCGAAGTAGTGGTACATGAACCGGCCCGGGTCGACATTTAAACGTACTTTCCCTATATTGCACCCAATTAAGGTTTATACTTGGGCCTTAATTGAAAGTTTTATTGTAGTATTCGGGACGAGTCAAGTTTTTGGCACCGTTGCCGAGGAGCAAACAGTTCATTATTTTGAAAATATTGTTTGGTGTTAATCTAGCTTTTACTTTTCTCTTTTGAGTTTGTGAATCTTGCTTGTGCTAGACGTATTGTGGCTCTTTTGAGTGTATGCAGGGAGGTGTATGACCCGAAGTAATCCGACACGTTTGGCGCCACTAAACGAGAATCTCAACCACACTCTCTGACACTTGGCTCGTGAGAGGGAACTGGCGGAGGCAAGAAGGAGGATAGAAGAGGAAGTTGTAGTTGAAGAAGGGTTTGATTCCGAAGAGGGGAAGTGAAGTCGATATGGTGGCTAATCAACCTGCTCAAGGAGGAGCGATCGTGGAGGAGAAACCAAGGAACATGGGCTACTACATGGATCCAAGGGCGGCAGAGATTCAACCTGCCATTCGAATCCGCCCATGGCCGCCAACAATTTCGAGTTCAAGCCCGCGCTTGTCACCATGATCCAAAATAATGCCCTATTTCATGGGCTTAGCAATGAGTCTCCGAGGGAGCATGTTCAGAAGTTCATTGAACTTGCGGGGAGTTTGGAGATCAATGTTGTCCACGAGGATGCTTTGAAGTTGAGGCTATTCCCCTACTCTCTTGAGGGGAATGTGATTCGGTGGCTCAACAATAGGCAGACTCTCTCGATCATTTCGTGGGTTGATATGCTCAACAAGTTTATGACTCGGTATTGCCCACATTCAAAGATGGCACCCACTTTGAGCAATAGGAAGATGAGACGTTGAGGGATGCTTGAGAAAGGTACTCCGACTACTTCCTCTAATGCCCACACCATGGATTCGAGGAGAAATTCTGCATTGCGACCTTCTATGGCAGTCTCCACCAAAATGACAAGATCCTCATTGACTCCTTATGTCAAGGGAAATAGATGAACATGACTCCACCCCAAGTGAACGAGTTGCTGGAAGACATGGCAAGTAAAGGGTATGACTTGGGTTAGACAAGAAATGGAAAGAGCAGCACCACAAGGAGAGTGCAAAGTGTAGGAGCGAGCCCCCCGCTTGAAGCGAAGATTGATCGGTTCATTGATGCACTCCTAGAGGACAAGAAGCATGGGAAGAGGCCAGTAATGGTGTGTGATTGGTGTTCAAGTACCAGCCACGAGATTTCGATTTGTCAAATGATGAAGGAATCTCGCACCCGTCAGGAACCAGTGAGTTTCATTGCCAATGCTAGGGGGAACAACCCCTATAGCAACACTTACAACCCGGGGTGGCAAAATCATCCGAATTTCTCTTGGTCCTCTCCTACCAACTCAAGAACCCCCTGGTTTCCAAGGGCCAACGGGAAATTATCAACCAAGGCCTACTTCCATTAAACAAAGGCCGCAATTCCAAGGCTCTAATTTCCAACAATCGTTTCAAGCTCAAGGAGGTCAAGGGTTCCAACAACTCGATAAGTTTGCAAAACTTGAAGACCTTGTGACCACCTTTGTGAGCACGAGCACTCAAAAGTTTGAGAAGATTGAGCAATTTATGGATGTGGCGACGACAAAGTTTACCTTAATTGAGGCGGGATTAAGGAGCCATCAAGCAAGCCTTCAAAACTTGGAGGTGCAAATTGGCAATCTTGCCGGGATCCTCACCGAGAGACCAAGGGGAGCACTACCCTCTCAAAACATTGTCAACCCCAAAGATCAAAATGTCGGTTGCAATGCTATTCTTTTGAGGAGTGGGAAGTGAATGAAGAGGAGAAGACCCCTCCAACAACCAATGATCACGAAGAAGTGGAAGAAATGGAAGAAGAGCCTAAGAAGGCATTGCAGACGCCACCACAAGTGGCTGAGTACAAGCTTCCTCTTCCTTTCCCCACAAGGATGTACAAAGACCGATTGGAGGCAAAATGTGGTGGATTCATGGAGATGCTCAAGAAGCTCCACATCACCATTCCATTCTTGGAGGCCATGGTGCACATGTCGAGGTATGCCAAATACCTCAAGGGGCTTCTCACCAAGAATCCTAAATATGAATACCTCGCCAATGTCACCTTAGGCGAGGAGTGCTCCGCCTTTATCCTCAACAAGTTGCCTAAAAAGCAACCGAATCCAGGTAGTTTTACTATACCTCTTTGCATCAGTAATCATCATATAGAAAACTCCTTGGAGGATTTAGGAGCAAGCATTAATGTGATGCCTTACAAGCTTTTTAGAAAGTTTCATTTGGGTGAATTGAAGCCCCCTATGCTTAGTGTCACATTGGGTGATCGCTTTGTTATTAGTCCTAGGGGTATTGTGGAGGCCGTCCTAGTGAGAGTGGGCAATTTCTATTATCTGACGGATTTTGTTATCCTCGACATCAGTGAAGATGCGGATATGCCACTCATACTAGGACACGCCCCTTCCTTGTCACCGCCAAGGCCTTGATTGATGTTAATGAGGGAACTCTTGTTTTGAGAGATGGAGAGGAGCAACTCAGTCTTTCAATTGATCTTAAGGTTAAGAATGATGTTGTGAAAGAAATGGACTCCAGTGGTATGAATGGAAGTGGAGCTGTGGAGGTGAACCTCTCAAGGCAAACCCCAGTAGTGTGTGTGTTCCATTTGATGATTAGGTGCAGGAAACCAAGGTGGGTACTAAGCCTGGAGGAAAGAAGAATAGAGAATGGAGGGATAGGCTTAACCGAGCCTCCTCCCGACACAAAGATTAGGGTAAGGCGAAAGTGTCGGGCCATAGGGCCACCCTATGGAGCTAAATGTAGGAGGCGACAAGCCGCGCCCCGAGACCGTGACGGATCCACTCTCTGTGGCTTCATGCCCTCAAGCATGATAGATCTGCAACATCGAGCTAGTGACATTAAACTAGGGCTTGTTAGGAGGCAACTCAACGACGATTCGTCTTCTTTTCCTTGTTTTCTCTTTTTGTGTGTGTGTGTTAAGAGTTCAAGTGTAGATTTGGGTATCACCGTGCCAAGTCTCTATGGTTGTGTGTTTTGGGATGTGGTGTGATTGAATTACGGGCACGGTTGATTAGATCGAGTCAAATATTTTTGGGAGTGCCTTCCTTTTCACTTAGTTCACGGTTTGTGCTTTCCATTCACTGTCTTAATGACCGTGAACTGGTGCCTCCGTCCGTGAACTGAGGGCGCTCCCCCTGTTTTCAAAACACATGTTTTTGCCCACCATTCCTGTACCGTTTAAGTCTCATCTCTAGAGTTTTAAGCCGATTTCACGCTAGGTTGTTCTTGTTTGTGATATTTCAGGTCCTAGTACGTGAAAGAAGGTTTGGGCACGAGTTCGGGGTCGATTGGACGAAGTTGGAACGTTTGATGAAAAGCTGGAAATTCAACACGCGTAGACCTAAATTCCACACGGCCGTTTGACTTGGCCGTGTGGAATTCCATTACGCGGGCAAGCCACAGTGGCCGTGTATGGGACCCCTTGTGGCCGTGTGGAAAGTCCAGGGAGCTTACACGACCAGACTGGAAATCCACACGGCCGTGTGCCTCTGACCGTGCAGCGTGCCTGAAGTTCACTAATCGAAACGCGGCGTTTTCACATCCACACGGGCAGACTGGAAAGCCACACGGCAGTGTTGTCGGAAAATTCTGGGTTTTAACCCAATTTCGAGCCAAAGGAGAGGGAATCGACTTTTTGGAGCAAAAACAGAGTTTTAGAGAGAGAAAGTGCGAAGAACAAACCCTAGGAGCTATTTGGAGTGGATTTCTCACCATTGAAGCCCAGATTGCATCCTCATGAGTGAAGATCATCATCCCGGAGCAGATTATCCTCATTGTTATGAGTATGACTACTATGATTTCTGTTTTCCTCTCTCTCTATGGAGTAGAACTTTCTCTCACTTGGGTATGAAGAACCCTAGTTCCGTGTGTTAGGGATCTTGATTGTAATGACTTGGGATTGTTATACTGTTTGATTTTAATCGATTGATGCATGATTCATTGAGTCAATTGAAGTCTGATCATCTTTTCTTAATTTTTGCTGCAACCTGAGATAGATAGAATCTGATTCGGTTGTTAGAGCTTCATCAATTGGTAGTGGTAGATTGATTATACGAGAGTTAATCGATTACTGCTTTGTACTAGAATTCAATTCCAGTAGTGGACTGAGAGGGCTTGGTCAGCTTAAGAGATTCCAAGCTACTATTGGATCTTCCGCAATTTAATCAACAGTTAATCAACCCAGGGTAATTACAACTGTGACCTAACTAAGGAGCTAGGGGGACTCATTCCCGAGTGACTCTTCCCTTGCTTTAGAAAACCAAACCATTTCCTGCTTTCTTACTGCTTTTAGTTAAAATCACAATCACTCGACTTAGTTTGCTAGATAATAGATATTCACGGAGTAGGTAGTAGATCTAGACCCCGGGTTGACAAATAGAGCTGGCCTGTTACTGCATTTCAGGACACGATTACACTTGGTCGTAGTTTGGTGTTGTGTTATAGAGCGTCAAGCACCTTCGCCAAAGTTTTGGGAATGTTTGGCTCAAATTTTTCCGGTGAGGCGCTTTCCGGCGAGGCTCCAGTGACCCCCCTCTGGCCAATTTTTTGCACGTTTTTTGGCTACCTCACCCTCTCCTCACTACCCCCTCGATCCTACTTGAGTCTCCAGGTTTGCTTTCAACCTTTTCCTTTTCGATTTTTGGAAAATTGGATTAGGGTGTGAAGTGAAGTGATTTTTGTGAATTGATGATGGAATGCAGAAATTAGGGCGAGGGATTAGTCGATTAATGATGGATTAATGTTATATGATAATGCAAGAGCTTAATTAAGCCTAGGTGTGCATGAAGTTGGGTTTAATTTGTGGTTAAATGTGAAAATTGCCCACCAAGTTCAACCCGGACCGACCCATAAACCGCTACTTCAATTGTTTGAAACATTATCTAGCGGATAGTTTTGGTGAAAACAAAGGTCTAAACCTAAAGTAATTTGCAAAGATGAAATGGTTTTGACACTAATTGAGAAGGCTTCACTCGGGTGTTGCTCCCCCTAGCTAGCATTTACGACTTGAAGGATCGAATGACCTTGTGTGGTGAGGGGGTTATAAACTGCAGGGAATTCTAACAAGTAGCCAAAGCTACCCTCTTAGTCTCTATGTCGAGGAAGGGGATACGAACCAAGCCACTAATGCGACTCTCTCAACCTGTTGACTCAGGAATGGTTAGACTTTACCCTCGAATTGGAGTTCGGACGGCCACCCACAACCAAACCCTAAGTGCTAATACGAAATAGGAGGTTTGCCCTGCATTAACCTAACTATGAGGCAACGAATTACCCAAGAAAACCCAGCATTCAAGCCTCTTTAAAAGAAATGAAGGGGATTTTCTCTCTACCTAAGTTAGAATGGCAATTAGATTGATAGGCTTTCACACAACACAATCATTCATGAACAATACCTCCACGTTCACATCAAACAAAACCACACACAAATCATTCAATCATACAAGCATTCACATAGTTGTGGCTAGGGTTTACAAACAGCCAAGTGAAAGAAGGGAGTACTCCATGCTAGGAGAATGGATAACACAAGAGAGAGGAAGGAAAACCATCAAAGAAATGCTAGTCTTGCTCCTTGTGTTGAAGAGATCCTCCTTTGGGGGAGGAATTCCCAATTCCTTGCTTGAAGATGAAACCCTAGCTTCTCCTCTTCTTTGGTTTGTCATTTTCTCACTCTAGAAATCTAAAGAAGAAGAAGTTTCTCACACTAGATATCCCCCCTTTTCTCCTTTGGCTCAACCTCCTTTATATACCCAAATCGAGCTCAGTTCACGGTCTTTGTTCACGGCCGTGAGCTGAAAGCCTAGACCACGAACCAACGATGAAACTCGTAGCATAACTTAACCCTGTTCACGGACGGAGGTCTAAGTTCACGGTCTTATGACCGTGAACTGGCTCGTGTCCAGTGAAAACCATCTGTGCTCTGGATGCCTGGCAGTTCGCGAGAAACAGATCCATTTCACGGTCTTAGTGACTGTGAACTCACAGACCAAACCGTGAACTGCTACTGTTTCCACCATTTGACTTGATCATTCGCCTTTTCTTCCAACTTTCGACTCCGGGGTCGGTTTCACCTGCCAAAGCCTAAAAAAAACCAAAACAAGGCACAAGTCGGCGTAAAAACAAACCTCCCGGAGTAAAAATGCTTCAAATGACTAAGCAAACTAGGGGTAGAAAGTTTACAAATGAACCCGAATCAAGCACATGGTCTTTTGGGCCCTTAAGTTGTTAAACCTTTATCTGAGTCTTGCAGGTACCAAAAGAAAAATGCAATTGGTGCAGTTTGAAGAGTGGCTTTATCATGCCTATGAGAACACACGGTTGTATAAGATGGGGACCAAGCGTCTCCTCGACGCTCGTTAAAAGGGCCCAAAGAGTTTTAGGTGGGCGATCGCGTTCTCCCATACAACTCTCGCCTGAAACTCTTTCTGGGAAAGTTGTGTTCTCGATGGTCAGGACCATTCACGGTCACCCGAGCGTTTCCATTTAAAACCATCGCGATTGCCAATCTGTAGACTAAGCCCTTCAAGGTGAATGGGCATCGCCTGATGATTGATCTTGCGGACCATAGTTCCGCCATCTACGTCCAACTAAACGACGATAAAGAAGCACTTGTGGGAGGCAACCCCACCACATTTTTATTTTTTTCCCTTTTTCCTCATTTTGCGTCATTACGTAGTCAAGTGAGTCATTTTTGTTCAGTCGGTTTTGGTTTCAAGTCATTTCGTGGTTAATCTAGGATTACCCGCCCAAAGACTCTATCCCTTGTCGGGTAATTCATCGGTCAACTCGAGGATAGCTCCTGCCTGAATCCCGGGGTCTTGACCTAAAATCCTCGCTCGGGGAATTTTTTCCTTACCCCGGGGATAGTCCTTGCCTTAATCCCCGGGGCTAGACCTAAAATCGTCGCCTGGGGAATTTGGCCCTTACTAGGGGATAGTCCATGCCTTAATCCCCAGGGTTATTTTTTAAATCCCCGTCCCAGGATCTTTCCCCCTAGTGAACTGGTTTTATGAGTTCTCCCCGGGTTCCGGCCTCAAATCCCCACCTGGTAATTGATTCTGGGGTTTTCCCCCTCCCCTATAAAAGGCAGACACCTCATTCTACTCGACCGGGAACACTGTGTTCACCGAAAAAAACTGGATCTCGTAGGAAAATCGCGAATTTTGTCTCCTTTCACCCGTAGCTCCGTTTTTTCTCATCCAACCGAAAAATTGCCACCACCATTGACTCGCCACGGATACACCGCGATTAAAATCCCAACTAGAGCCCAAGCATAAACTCTAGTCGGGTGCAGTATAAGACAAGTATGTTTTAATTGTCAAACCAGGCCGGCCCAAGTACCCCTACTTCAATCACTTAGTTTGTTATCTAGCAAACGTTTTTGGGTTTAAAACTAACAAAACTAAAGATGAAAACAAGCAAGTAAAGTAAATCAAGGTTGTCCCAATGAGAGAAGAGTTCACCCGAGTATTGATCTCCCTAGCCACATATCAAGATCACCCAAATTAAATGCAAATGTGTGGATGTGTGTTAATACACCGTAGGAAGGCGCAACAAGTGAAGGAAACCTCACTCTCTTAATTAATCGGTTAAGGAAAAAAATTAAGCTAGTAACCTTAGCTCTCTCTCAATGGATTAAGGATTGCTACAATAAACTAGGGAGTCTAGCTCCCTTCACCTTTCGGATAAGGATTGCAACAATAAGCCAAGAGTCTTAGCTCTCTTAACCGATAAAACTAAGGGTTGCAAGAACCAATCCCTCGGAGCTTAATCCGGACGGCAAAGTAACACCCAAGTTAAAGTGCTAAATCAAAGATTGAGGTTTGCCCTAATTTTCCCTAGGTAGGTGACTCAATTGACCAAGGAATCCAGCTTATCAAAGCCTCCTAACAAAACAGGAATTCTAGCACGGATTGGAGAGCAAGTCGCCAAGCAATTTTTTTGATGAGATCATCTTGCAACTCCTCACTCATGTCTGCCTCTTCAAAGCTCGTTATGGGATGTGGGAAGGTGTGGTAGGCTACAATAGGACATTCTTGGTCATGATCATCATGGGAGCTCTCTATGACAACTTATGTATGCTCCATATTGTCTTGGTAGCCTCATTCATCCTCCTCCTCTTCTTCTATGGTAGCAGAAATGTAATCTTGAGCAAGCTGTGCACAAACTTGCTCAACCCACTCTGATTGCATTGCTGACTGTTGAACAGTATCTTCCATTTCATGGAGAAAGGAAGGGTCACAAGGAACAACAGGAGGAGAAATTGATTTGATTATAAGTTCCATGTTGGGGAAGGATCTCTCGGTGTCCCAAACAAACTGCTCCACGAGAAGCCTCAATTGATAGTTTGGATCTGCCCGTGGAGAGTAGCATGGCTCTGCAGAATGGCCTGTGAAGGCCGCCATGGCTAACTCTAGCTCCGATGGCCCTACTAGTTATGAGAGGAATTCTTCTTGATACTGAAACACGAATCCATAGTCTTCTCCTCCTTGATTGCTCCAGGAAATCTCAGGGTAATACCACTCGAGTGGTGGAGGATACCTCCAATGGTTGGAGAATCCATGAGGATCCATGATTCAGATTTGCACCAACAAAAACAAAACACCCAAGTGAAAAGAAAGGGTGGTAAAGAAAAGAAAAACGCTAAAATAACAAACCTAGGCCTTTCCTAATAATCTAGAAAGTCTCCGGCAACGGCGCCAAGAACTTGACTCGCTAAAAAATAACTCCTAACAATAAGTGTAACCAATGAAGGGTAGTGTAGTATAGTGGCTCACGTGATACATATCGAATCCACAGGTCTCTAAAGTTAGTATTACTCAGCTTCGGTTCATTATCTAGCAAACCATATTAAGAAGGAAGAACTAAAACTACTCTAGCAAACTACAGTTAAACTTAATCTAATTAAATGGTGGGAACTCACGTAGGTATGATTGATTCCCTCTATCCACTAGCCGCTAGCTAGATTAGTGATTAATGATCTCTAACTTGTTTCACTTTCATTCACAATGCGAAGAATCCTCGACTAGACCTTTAATCTTGACTAAAGGAACAAGGCCCTCTTAAGTCGATTGCCTAGAGGGACGTATCCTTCTCTAGAACAACCGATCAAGGCATTATGAACTAGATTCCCTCTATCGAATGAAATTCTCAATTGATAAAAAGTAGTGAATCGAACCTCGACTAAAGCAATCGATTCAATACTATCAATCTATGGTGCTCTATTGAGAATCATGTAAACATGCATAGATTGAATATGAACTCAAGATTATCAAGGAAGAGTACTCATACAATCATCCAATCAAACAAACATGGCTAGGGTTACTCAAAACCTAAGGGAAGGGAAGTTACTCCATAGAGAAGAGAGAGAGACTGCAGTAAGAATCTTGAGATGATCAGTCTTCAAGTCCGAGCTTGTTCCTCGAGCTTCGAACGCAAAGAAATCCTCCAATTCCACTCCAAGATTACCCTTAAATTGCCCTCTCTCTATTTGGTTCGTCCATTGGGTGTTTGGGATCCAAAACCCAGCCCTCTCCCTCCAAAAGCACACAAAACATGCTTTTATACCAACTTCTGGACGTTACTCGGTCATATTACCTGGTCCGGTAATTATACTTGGTGACAAGGGATCTTCAAAACGCTCCGGGTCACTTCACTATCGGGTATTTTGACCCTACTGATTGGGTATTTTACAGTTTCGGGTCCCCATTTTTTTATTATTCGTTTCTCCCTCGTTCGAACTCCAAATCAAGTGTCATTTGATCCCAGGCGCTTATAGTCTCGTCCTCTTCCTTCTAATGACAAACTTAAATGATTATATGGTCACAAAATGTGGCAGAAATCTATTCTTCTTAGGTCATGCCTGATTTTCTTCCCCCGAGTCGCCAATTGATCTCTGATTGACATGAACTTGCGCCTATGATTCACTTTCCGTGCTAGGACATGAAATGTGACAAAGGAACACAACCTATCATAAAATAGGCCAAAGAAGCGATAATGCAAGGTTAAATGATCAAGAACAAAGGAGAAAACATGTGCAAATATAGAGTAATCAGAAACGCAGGTAGGAGGCTAGCCAGTTTCCCCCAAGTAAGGATCACCTAAGCAAGCATTTGAGCACAAAGTAGTCGCTTTGCATTAAGAACATGGCAAAGCAGTGGAGTTCTGTGCTTATTGCTTCAGCTTTCTATCCCGGTGAAGACTAGTTGTCTGCCGCGTAGTTAGACTGAGAGGGCTTGGTCAGCTTAAGAGATTCCAAGCTACTGTCGGATCTTCCGCAGTTTAATCAACAGTAAATCAACCCAGGGTAATTACAACTAAGACCTAACTAAGGAGCTAGGGGGACTCATTCCCGAGTGACTCTTCCTTTGCTTTAGAAAATCGAACCAATTCCTGCTTTCTTACTGCTTTTAGTTAAAACAACAATCAATCAACTTAGTTGGCTAGATAATAGATATTCACGGAGTAGGCAGTAGATCTAGACCCCGGGTTGATAATTAGACTTGCCACTTTACTGCATTCCTGGACTGCGATTACACTTGGTCGCAGTTTGGTGTTGTGTCGCAGCGTGTCAAGTTTTTGGCGCCGTTGCCGGGGACCTTCTAGGTTATTTGAGAAACATGAAAGTTTGTTACTCTAGCTTTTTCTTTATTGCATTTTATCTCTTCCACCTGTGTGCCTTCACGGGTTTTTTCTGCTGATTGTGTGCAGGTAGTGCATGACCTGTAGCCAGTCGGGAGATCTACTACCATTAGACCAGGAGCTTGAACGAACCTGCAGGAACTTCAAGCGGGCTCTAAAGGCGCGATTGGCTGCGGAGGAGGCGCTAGCACAGCTGCAAATCGCCGACGAAGAAGAGATGGGTGATCCACAGAACCATGATGTGGTCCTTCCCGAGGAACAGACCATGGGATACTACTGGACCGCCAGGGCCGCGGACATGAGGTCGCCCATTCAACACCCTCATGTGCCAGCAAATAATTTTGAGGTGAGCACCTCTGTCATCACCATGCTACGCGGTTAGGTGGTGTTCCGTGGCAAAGAGGGGGAGTGTCCCCGATCACATCTGAGGCGATTCCACGAGCTCATCGATGGAATCAAGATAAATGGGGTCTCAGCCGATGCCATCCAGCTGAGGTACTTCCCATTTACCCTGGAGGGGCAAGCCAAGGAGTGGCTAGACACTCGACCTCCAGGCTCTATCACCACGTTCGCCAATCTGGCGGACAAGTTCCTCACTCGCTACCACCCCCCGTCCAAGACGGCAGCCCTGCAGAAGCAAATTACCCACTTTGCTCAGGATGAAGATGAGACCATCCGGGATGCTTGGGAGAGATACACCAGTCTATTCCTCAAGTGTCCCAACCATAGTTTTACCAACGCCTTCAAGGTGGGCACTTTCTACCATGCCCTCTTCCCGGAAGACAAACAGTTGATTGACTCGGTCTGTGGCGGGAATATACTCACCAAAACACCACCACAGCTGAATCAACATTTTGAAGATATGGCAGAGCAGGGCTATGACTGGGGAACTACGAGGAGATCGAGACGAGCACCAGTATGGGGTGTGCATGCTGTAGCCACCCAGTCATTTGATTTGGTGCAGGTGGTATCGAAGCTGGTTTTAGCCCTCGATCGTTCCAGGATGATTTCAAGTACAGGACAGCAGCAAGAGATGCTCTGCCAGTAGTGTGAGAGCACCCATCATACTATGGAGGACTGTCAGGCCATGCGTGAGTCTTGTAAACCCCAGGAGCAGGTGAACTTCATCAACAATGTCCAGCGCAACGACCCCTACAGTAACACCTACAATGAGGGATGGCGCCAGCATCCAAACTTCTCCTGGAGTGGCAACAGCAATCCGAAACCACCTAGCTTCCAGGCTCCGGCCACTAGCTTTCCAACCAGAGGCAGCCATACCAGCCTCGCCCTGGCCAGATGCAGCAACAATAGCCACTCTATCAGCCCAGACAGGGGCAGGCTTTTCAACAGCCCCCACAGCAGCAGTACCAGCAACCTGGTGCACCTCCATCAGTCCCAGCACCGGGCGATCCTGTGTCAGAACTGAGGGATCTAGTGACTACCTTGGCGAGCACTAGTACCCAAAAGTTCAACAAATTGGAGCAATTCATGGAAGTGGCTGCAGGTAAATTCATGGAGATTGAAGCTGACCAGAGAAACCAGCAGGCACTCCTGCAGGATATGGATACCAAGATCGGGCACCTGAAAGATGCCCTTGCTTCCCGACCTGCTGGCACACTTCCTGGCCAACCCTTACCGAATCCTAGAAATCACAAGGAGGGGTTGCACGCCATTATGCTACAAAGTGGGACTGTGACTGCGGATGCACCGCAGAAGAGTGATCACCCCTGAGCCGGAAGAAGACCTAGTGATGGAAAAGGAGCCAGAGGATCAAGCTCCAAAGCCACAACCTGTAGTGGCTGAATATAAGCCTAAGCTCCCTTTTCCCATCAGGATTCACAAAGACAGGCTAGAGGCAGAGTTTGGCAACTTCTCATCCATGCTTAGGAAGCTACATGTTCAAATACCCTTCATGGAGGCACTAGCCCATATGCCTAAGTATGCGAAGTTCCTAAAGGAGCTTCTCTCGAAGAAGCGGAGGCTGAGCGAGCTGGCCACTGTGGAGCTCAGTGAGGAGTGCTCGGCCATTTTGCAGAACAAGCTTCCGCAGAAGCAGAAGGACCCAGGTAGTTTCACTATCCCGTGCTCTATAGGTAAATTGCATGTCGAGAGGTCCTTGGCGGATCTAGGTGCTAGTATTAATGTGATACCGTATAAATTGTTCAAGAAACTAGGCCTAGGTGAACCCAATGCAACAAGGATGAGTGTTCAATTAGTTGACCGATCTATAATTCATCCTAGGGGCATAGTGGAAGACCTTCTGGTTAGGGTGGGAAGATTCTTTTATCCTGTGGATTTTGTTGTCCTGGACATCAATGAAGACACAGAAGTGCCCCTTATACTCGGAAGGCCTTTCTTGGCCACCACCAAGGCCCTTATAGATGTGCATGACGGGACCTTAGTCTTGAGGGATGGCGAAGAGAAAATAATGTTTTCCATTGCTAATACTCTTCCTATTTCATCACCATTGCATGTTGTTTCTCACCAGGAGCACGAGTTTGTCGTGTATCCTTCTGTGCTTCCTATTTTGCAGGATTCCCCTCCCATACCTTCTCCGCTAATCCCATCCACTCCTTTACCAAAGGAAAAGATCAGGGAGGAGTGGCGGCCGAAGCTGCCGGTAGCTCAGCCTGCTCACAAGAAAGTCGGACACCACTATGAGCGGGTCCCACTTCCTGAGCCTCGACCACCCTGGCCATCCGAGTATTCACTAGCTTGCATCCTGCCGGATGGCCAAGTCGAGTTGACGAGTGCTGGTGGCCACATTCGTCGTGTGCATGGCCACCATCTGAAGCTGTACCTTAAGAGCGATGTGGATCCGCTCTTGAAGGCACCCGCGCCTACACCTCTCTGAGCATCCACCTACTGGCGTCCAGCTAAAAGACGGTAAAGAAGTGCTTGTGGGGAGGCAACCCCATCTAGCTTTGCATTTTCTTACCTTTTTCCTGTTGATTTTTTGTGTTTTTGAGTCTTGAGGTGTTGTCAAAGAGTCGTATGTCATTTTTGAGTGAAAACAGGTCAAATTCGGGGTTCTGGCAGCCCACACGGCCAGTCCTAAAAATCACACGGCCGTGTGGAATTGGGTTTTGGCCGTGCGAGTCCACTGGAATTTCCACACGGGCAGGAGGGGTACCTCACACGGCCGTGTGGATTGGTCCCCTGCCCGTGTGAAGCCTCGACAATTTCCACACGGCCAGTTTTGCTTTTCACACGGCCATGTGGAAATCCTCGGCCTGACCGTGTCGGCCCACACAGGCACTTGTGCACCTCACATGGCCGTGTGAGCTTGCCCGTGTGGCCGAGCCCAGCCTTTATAAATTTGGCCAACACGGCCACGTGGTCAGAAAATTCAAATCCTCTCGCCGGAATCCTCTCCTCGCCGGAAAACCGCGACCTTTCGCCCTCTTTGGTGATTTTCGGCCATTTTTGGTCGGTTTTTCACCAAACCACCTCCACACCCATCCTATTCTCCCTTTTTTCGGCCTATCCCTCGACTTTGAGCCGATTTGAGCCGATTTTGAGTCGCCGGAGGCGATTTAAGGCGAGGCTCCGACGAGCACTTCCGGGCAGATTTTGGGCTTTTTGTCGCTTCCATTGCCTTCCCCTCATCATCCCCTACACCTCTACTTGTGTCTCCAGGTTTGATTTTGACCTTAACCTTGTGATGTATGGAGAATTGGGTGTTAGGGTGCATGTTTAGAGAACAACTTTGAATCATGAGAATTGTGTGAAATTGATTGAGGGGAAGGCTTGGTTTGTGTGTGAATTGTGTTGGGCAATGTCCCCCATGCTTGTTTGAGCCCTTGTGTGCAAGAAATTTGTCTATTCCATGCTTAACTTAATAGTGCACACAAGGTGTTTGATGAAATGCATGTTTTCGTACCATTTTGTGGGAGTCAGTTGGGGCCCTTAATGATGTGCTTTGAGGGTGTATTTGCTATGAATGTGAACCTTAAGTTGCCTACTTTATCGTGTATATACACCCCCCACTCAGATTATGCTTGTTTGATCGAGTTTTTGACTCCCGAACTATGGATGAAACAGTGGTTCGGCTGATTTTTGTTCTCAAATGTGGGGGTGTGATTAATGGGTTCCTTGGCTCTTTTGGTTCCACTTTGGGTTGTTCTTTTGCAGGACCATGACGAAACCCGACCTCAAGCACCCGTTTATTCGGGATTTGAAGAGGGGCCCCCACCAAGATCGTTTTAAGAGCATCCTGGCCTGCTCGTTTGGGCAGCATCATTGCTGGTCCAGGCGGGAGTTTGAGAAGCTGCACTGCTACGAGCACTTCTCCGCCATTGTCACCAACCGCCCCTGGCGCCGTCTACTATGCATTTTGCGAGAAGGTTTACCACGAGCTCGTGCTTGAGTTCTATACGACCTTCAAGCACGAAGAGACGGAGGATTGGGCGGATGGTGAAGCCGTCAAGTTCAGGCTCGGCGGTGCACCCCGCTCCATGAGCTACCACGACTTGGCGACCGCCCTCGGCCTCGGCCTGGCCGATGATAGGGACTACGTCACCGAGCTCAGCAATTCGGTGGGGGTGAACTTCAAGACACTGTACACCCACCTCTCTCGGCCAGGCCAGCGTCCCTTCGTGGCGGGGCGGATGAAGGCCAGCACCTTGCAGCTCGACAACCGCATTCTCCACCACTTGCTGGCAAAGTCCTACAATCTAGCTGCGGACAGTGTCAGCGCCATCACTAGGAGAGCCATGTACTTCATCCAGTCCATCCTCCAGGGGGATCATCTTCTCCACTTGGGTTCTGTGGTGGCAAGAACCTTCGACAAGAATGCTTCAGAGCTGAAGAGCCTCCACTGCACTCCCCTCATCACCCGCCTGGCCACCTACTTCCATATATCACTGCAGGGGTGCACAGAGAAGGGGGACACTAGTGTCTTTGGAGAATATACGATCCATCGCATGCACCTGCTTCGAGAAGAGCGAGGAGTCAAGTGGATCTAGGGGTTTCCTCAACCTCAGATCCCAGCGGAGGACCAGCCGGAGGTTCCTAAGGATGCGGCTGATGAGGATGTCCACCCCGAGGATGTGGATGACGCTACTTCCCCCCGCCCCACCATCTTCGAGTACGAGGGTAGCAGTTCCCACTTTCCCCGGCCAGGAGTACTTCACTCACCAGTTCGAGCAGTTGCGTCTCCAGAATCAGTAGCTCTTCGACCATCAGCTCCAGTTCCAGCAGCAGTATTCAGCTCACCATGTCGAGTACCAAACCCGGCTGGCTGCTTATGATGAGCGTCTTGATCGGATGGAGACCCAGCAGGGGGGTGACCCTAGCTCGCATCGAGAGGGAGCAGGCCCGATCTCGGCGTACGCAAGAGGTCTAGCATCACCTGCTCCAGCTGATACCGGGCGAGCAGCAAGTCTAGAGGACTCCTTGGGAGGACTCTCCCCTACCACCCCTGGCCGCCGACGATGACGCCTTCATGAACGACATTGACCTCGACAACCTTGGCGACGAGTAGGCTGTACTCGTCGCCTCGCCCCCCCCCCCCCCCCCCCCCCCCCCCCCCCCCCCGAGTGTGTTTTTTTAAGACTTTTTATGTTTGCTCCATGTGTTTGAGGAGCATGAACTGAGTCTGTCGTTTTTTTCGTACTTTTGGTTTTCTTTTGTGGTTTGTCTTTTGTGTGGCCATCTGGGCCAACTCTGATCCCTAACGCACAGTGTGCTAGTGTGTTCTTGTTATTCCCTTCGTGCATAACTGCCCGTTCGTGCCATTGACTCGACTCTACTGTCACTCCAGGAATTGGCCAAGTGTAACCACTTCCTAAAGCGTAGTATAGCGGGTTTAGGTTTAATTATCAACCCGGGTCCTAGATATGATGACTACTCAGTGAATTCGTGTTATCTAGCAATGAAACTGGAATGCAAGTCTAAACTACCAAACAAACAAAGCACGTAAACTGTTGTATTCAGGTTAAAGAGGTCACCCGGATATGGTTCCCCCTAGACTGCAGTTAAGCCGGATTGTAATTACCAAGTTCAGTTTCTATGAAAGTTATACTGCGGAAGATTCTTAAATAGCCTGAAGTCTCGACTAAAGGTCTTCAGACCCTCTCAATCTGAATCTTTAGCGGGCGACTAACCTCCACCGTAGACAGATTGAGGCCTTAACAAACAAAACCTCCACTACCGGAGTAAATCCGGTACAGAATAGTGAGTTGGTTCCTCGACTAAAGTCACCAACTCCCTACCTTCAATCAAGGATACTCTATTAACCTATGCAGATATTCTCATTCTAGGTTAAAGCAGAAACAACAGGAATTTGATCAGGATTCAAGTCATTCAATCATCAAAACCTCAATCGAATATAATCAATCACAGAATCAGTACTTGGGTTCATACAATCAAAGCCTAACATACAAATCTAGGGTTCTCCATACCCAGATGAATGGGAGAATTACTCATAGAGAAGAAAGCAAAAGCAGAATCAGACAAGGAATTCATACTGCGAAGGATGGATTCCTGCTTCTGGACGTTGATCGGCACTTCTCCAAGCTCAAGCTGGCCTCCAATGGTGTTGAAGATCAATCTAGGGCACTTGGGAACTCTTGCTCGTCACTTTCTCTCTCTAGGAACTGATCTCTCTGTCAAAAACTCGAATCCCCTTCTGTTTGGCTGAAAATCTGCTTAAAAAGGCATCAGCCAAAGCACGGTCGAGGGCACGGCCGTGTAATGCCTCAGCCCGCCCGTGCTTTGGCTAGTGTTAATTACACGGCCAGTGCATTGGGAGAAACACGGCCGTGCTTTGGTGGAACACGCCCGTGCTTTGGCAGAACACGCCCGTGTTTTGTTTTGGCCCTGCCCGTGTAATCAGCTCAGCTCTCGGCATAAAAAACACGGCCACCAGAACACGGCCGTGTAATGATTTAGGTGTGCCCGTGTTTTGGCTCCAGCTCACCGAAATGACTTCCGAATGCCCCGAAACTCGCGCTTAGCCTTCCCTTTGACACCTGGGACCTGAAACATGACAAAATAGCACAACCCGGCGTAAAATAGGCCACAATACACGACTATGCCCCTCAAACGGATAAGAACTAGGGGCGCAAATATGTGCAATTACATCGTTATCAGCCATATGTTCCCCGCTGACTGGTCCACTTCCAATCTCCCGCAGTATTTCAATCCGGCAACATCGTTCCCCTTATCTCTCCCTATGCTCCATTGAGGGCAATGTCGTGCTTAAGTGTGGGGGTGCTTTGTATCGGTTGGAATCTATATACGTGTGCTTGGAGCCTAGTCTGCTGTCCAAATCTCGAGATTTGAGGGCTCCAAGTACGCCTGTTTGATCATGTTGGCACTGTGTTTTGATTGGTGAATTGAATGGTTTTCGATTTAATGCATGACAACTGGATGGTGACTAGGACAACCTATAATGATGACTGAGACGTGCAGTAGAGTTGTGTAGGGGTTCAGTTTTTCAACTGTTTACTTGCCAACTGTGACTTGGATGGATCACTTTTTCTTGACAGTCGTTTATGCATCTAGTTCAGGGGATCAGAATGAGAGATAGAGCATATAGGTAGCCATGTGAGATTTGAGCCTGCTCGTTTCTTTCTTGTGTGATAGTTCCCTCTTCCATGATGTGTAGCATTCACGTTGTCATTAGCTAAGATGATGGAGGCATAGGATTAGCCCACGACCAAATTGACTGTCCTGGTGTGTCATACCCCCTAGTCAGCCCCTTTGAGCCGTGTGCTATCCTTTCTTTTGGTCTGCAATGAAAAATCACCCTTTTGCATCTCTTAGAAGGTTCCACAGAGTGGTTTTTTTTACATGTTCTCTTCTGTTTCTGCTAAATATAATGTGAGAGTTGGAGGTAGTTCTTATAAAGTTGGGAAGGTGTTTGAAAAATGTGCAGAGGTGGTGGTTCTCTTAAGAAATGAAAAAAATGATGAAAGAAAAACAAAGAAAAAAATGAAAGCGAAAGAGAGCCACCACCAAAAATCTAAATAGTGCCCATTAAGTAGTGTTTCTTAGCAGTCTGGCTTGGAAATACTAACATTTATGTGACCTCCTTCACTCTTGTGCTCTGAAGAATTTGAGTAATGCAGAGTAGCAGAAAGAAAGTTATTGGTTTGCTTGACTGTGAGTTTGTTGGGTTTGGAAATGTGGAACCTTGTGCTATGAATACGTCCACCACCTAAAAGGCCTTTTCCCCATGTCCAAGACCCTAGCCAGTCATTTGAAGATGTGTCTAAGCCCTCCGGATTGGTTAGTGATGACACCCATTTATGTGAACTCTAACATTTAGAGGCTGTCGTCATGGTGAAGAGATGTTAGGGATTGAGAGAATAAGTATGCACATTTTTCGCATCAAATTGTCCTGACCCCACTGGTCGAGAGTGAGCGATTCATTTCCTTGTTCTTTACACTCTTTACCCCGGTGAGGACCTAGATGGCTCGGTCTTGATTCTGATCTCTGGAGTTTTATGCATGAGGTGACTGTCTTGAGTAAGTGGTTGAGTCAAGTCTATGTTGGTTGATGAACAGAAGGGAGACTCCTCCTTTACTCGATTTTGCTGCACTCAAATGTCCTATGTGGTGGTTGTCCAGGTTGCTATTGAAGTTGTTCATGTGTTGATGTTTGAAAGCCAGGAGGATTCACGTGTTCTGTGCCTATATGATTTGTCCCCAATGTTGTATGATTAAAATATGTGAGCTTACCTTGTGTCTGACTTGGTTTGCTTGGGGACAAGCAAACGGTTAAGTGTGGGGGAGTTTGGTAGACCTTTAATTGCACATGTTTTTACCCCTATTCTCGAGCCGTTTGAGATGTTGATTCTCGTGTTTTAGGCCGATTTCACGCT